AAGTGGACACCAAAACTTCCAGCGTGGGCCATATGGATGCTATTTACTGTTCCCTCTTCTCTGAAACAAAGTATTTGTTAATGTGACGTTTGAGTCACACAAACTCACTCAGACTGGTATGAATTACGTGTGTTTCTTGGCTCAGGTTTTGCCACAGGACACGGAGCTTAATTAGTCACTATGTCAGGGAGAATGTGTCCAGAGGGCGCTGCAGCAGCTCCTTCTAGCCCGTCATTCAAACAACGCTGCACATGTAGTTGTAATTGAGTGTGAAATCAACCTGGCTCGTACTCTCCTCTTTGTTTTCAGCTAATTAATAATGTTATGGAAATATTGTGACTTGAGGTAATGTGTGTTTTATATGAAAAGCGTGTAGCTTGCTAATTCACTGCAGGTGAGCCTCAGCTACTCTGGGCCAGCCCCACCCCACCCTGCTCCCTGGACGCTGACTCTATCCCATCTAACGTATGCTCTGTTCTCCCACCTGTCCCAGGCCTTCTTGGTGGTGGAGAAGCACCCCCAGTTTAAGAATGACGTCTTTGTGCCTTACGCCCAGTGGCTGGCTGAAAACGACCACTTTGAGGAGGCGCAGAAAGGTCAGCGCTGCATGCAACGTTCTGCTTTAAAACCAAACACATCCTTACAGGATTATGTCACTCAACGCGGTCCACTTCAACAGCCAAGTGTCTTCATGTGGAAGCAATAAAGTTTAGCCCCAGATACGGACTTTTCCATGTCTCCTGTAAAACATGATCCTCTTTGCAGCAGCAGGGCAGGACAGAGCTGGGCTGAACGACATGCTTGCTTGCTTCCAATCACCAGTGCTACAAGCGGCTCTGATGATGATTACCAACTGTAACCATAGTTATAATCAGCTCATAGATTTATAATTATAATCCCAGCAGGCATATTTCCTCCCCTACATAATCTTCCTCTGCTTGTCTCAATGCAGGACTCGACAAGCCTGATTGTATTCGGGTTTGCTTATTTAGCCATGTATTTTGTCGATTGTGTGCATTTTAGGCAGAGACGAGCTGCAATGCATTAGAAGTGATTGTGAAGTTCCAGATTGTGGCCTGTCTCCTGTCCACCGCTCTGCTGATCCTCAGTAAATGTCCTTGAAATAGTTGTCATTACAGAAATCTGTTGAAGTGTTTTGTTTAGCGAGCCTAAAACAAAGAGCACTCAACCTATAAAGGGACGTGCTGGAGTGTCAAGGGTCAAATGGGTATTTTTGACAGTTTTATATTTCCAGGTTGTTTGTTTTGAAGACTTTTTTTGGACAGATGAATGCGCTGAAATACTGGATCCCTGTTGCAGTGTGCAGGTCTGGAGAAGAACATGTTTTAGAGCCGGTTAAGAGCACGTAATCCTCAAAATGCCCCACATTAGGCTGCGAGTTTGTCCCTGAGCTGTCCACCAAGACGATTTGACCTAACGTCATCAACACAAACACACTGTGTTTTCATGAAAATCATAGTTGCACTTCCGTTTAGTTTATTGCGTTGTGCTCACAGTAAATCAAACGTGTTGAAGAGAAGGATGCTAACAGTGTTGTGTTTGCTAAACGTAACCAACAACAGCTGGATGTGGTTTCCCATCGGTTAGGCTCACTAATACATGTTTGCCACTAATGCATTTTGACCCCTGCTGAGATTGTGGGGGCAGGGTCACTGTTGGGGTTGGCTCCCAAAAGCTGCTTCTAATTACCCAATAACAGGAACATGACGAATAGCGCTCATGTTTATTTGGACTTAGGAGCCAGCAGGCTTTGGTGTTTGGTATTCACAAACTGCTGTTGTAAAGGAAAAGCCTGATGGTGGTTATTCAGGATAGCAGTGGGTAGGGCTGGGCAATAAATCGAAAATTTATTGTTATCGAAATTTCTGACTCTTATCATGATCATTTTTCTGATGTCAATAAATCTGATAATAAAAAAAATGAAAAGGTTTGTGTAGGTTGGCAGTGTTCATGTCACTTTAAGAAGCTGTACCACCTTAGTACACGTGACAGCCTCATCTAGTGGACAACATTTGTTACTGCGCATACCTGTAGTCATCGCCCATTTATCGTTATCGAGGCGAAATCCTCAATATATCGTGATATTGATTTAGACCGTAACGCCCAGCCCTAGCAGTGGTATAACTTTATTTGTAACCTTGGACACAAACGTCGTACCGTAGAAAACGCCGTAAAACCAGAACATTTCAGCGTTTTTTTTTTTTTTTTCATTGGAATCTGTGTCCCTTATGGTAACCGGTATGAATTTGTATAGTGCCTTCTTTGTACTGCGTCCCACCAAGATGCTTCACAACACATTCAGTCAACCACACATTCACACACTGGTGATGATGAGCTACAATGCAGCTGCAGCTACCCTGTGGCGCACTGAGAGAAGCAAGACTGTGGAACACTGGCACCACCGGTCCCCACGACCACCATCAGCAGGCTAGGTGGGTTAAGTATCTTGCCCAAGGACACAACAGCAGCGTTCTCTTGCAGGAGACGGGATTGATCCTGCAACCTTCTGGACAACCCGCTCTACCTCTTGAGCTACTGCTGTCCCAGTTGTATAGAACGATGTTCAAACAGGTTAGCACTGTCTAAAGCTAAAGCTAGCTTGTTTTTACTATCTGAACTGGAGCTGGGGGTCGTCTTCCTCCTGATGTGTGGAACTGGGAATTACCGTTGAACATTCTGACCAGTATGGTGACTCAGATATATAAACAAGTGTTGCTCGTCTTAAATGAACCCTCTAGTCCAAAGTCACCTCAAGATGAGAGTTTTAAACTTTTCTTTCCTCCTCAGCATTTCACAAAGCTGGTCGTCAGAGTGAAGCGGTGAAAGTCCTGGAGCAGCTCACCCACAATGCAGTGGTGGAGAACAGGTTCAACGATGCTGGCTACTATTACTGGATGCTATCGATGCAGTGTTTGGACATAGCCAGAGGTGACGCGTGTCATTAACTGCACCTTGTTTTAAATTTGAATTGTGATGTTTCTCATTCTGATCCTTGTGCCTTCTCCTCCAAACCAGAAAGCGAGGAGCAGAGGGATGAAAATCTGAAGAAATTTGAACGTTTTCAGCATCTCGCTGAGCTTTACTACGTGTATCGATCTATTCAGCGCTACACGGTGAGGATGACTGTGTGAATGCTTCCTTCTCATTTCATAGGGAATGGGTTTGCTGCTGGATTAGAAACTGTCACCAGCACCTGGTTGAATTTCTGTTTTGGTTTAAACACACAACAAACATACCTTATGATCTCCACTTACTCTGACATTCAGAATAGGTTTGGCTCTGAAAGATTATCTCAATCCACAGACTGAGTTGGGATTAAGGAGGAATTAAGATAAGCTCAGAGGGCGTCAGGCAAAGTGAACAAAAGACAGAATGGAGGGCATTACGTTCAGGTCGCAGTTCACTTAAAGGAAATATCAGCTGGAAAGAGCCACCATTGTTAGACTGCTGAAACCCTCCTGACCCCTGTCGCCATAGTAACCAGTTGCTTGACGGAACAAGATGACAACCTCATCAGTGGTTCTCTCCTACCGCCGCTCCAAGCTCTCACTCGCTTACAAACAACAAATTCCCGCTTGTGAGCGCTCTGCGGGTGACCTGGCCTGTGTCGGCGCTCCTGGTTTGTTGTTTCAGCGCTTCGCTCCGCTGTGGTCACCCTCACAGTACGGAGGCATCGCTCTGATCCAGACCAGAGCAGGAAACCTCTACATGTCACGTTAACTCTCCCAGACGGGAGCTGTAGATTTAGACTATAAGCTTCAGTGATGAAATGCTTTTAGTGAACACTTTAGAAAAAAATCCTCTCTCTTTTTCTTCTGTGGCACCGTGAGGAAGGATAAGACGTGGAGGACGTTGAAAGATTGCAGATATAAATGGGATTGACCTGAGAAAATAGTTATCAGTTATTTAGGTAATTTTTAATCCCTTTCACTTCAATCTGTCATTTTTCTTTTTTATTTTAATCTTTAGGATGAGCCCTTCAGTTCCCACTTGCCAGAGACACTCTTCAACATATGCAGATTCCTACTGAATAACCTCACCAAGGACGTACCACCAGGCATCTCTAAAGTGTATCCTTCACCTCGACAAGGTAAACCACACATAGCATGATGTGTACAGCAAGTATGGGACCTCCTTTTCTGAAAGCACCACAGCACCTTCACTTCAAGACTGGCAGAAGCAGCGGAAATAAAGAAGATAAAAGTAGGAACTGTTGGTGCCGCAGCGGCAGCCATGCTGCTGCCGGGAGAGAGAAAAGGGATGATGATGGGGAGGAGACGATGCCAGCAAGAGGCCCATTTTTGGTTTTCCAAACAAGCTCTTTGATTGCTGAATGCTATGCGTACATACACATTGAACAGTGAGTTTTAATTTGAACAAACAAACAGTCAAACACACTCACAACCGTACAGACAAGTTTATGAAGTCACTCGGGACGGGTGCTGGTATGAGGAAGGAAAGGAGGAGGAAACGGGGCCGGCCTCAGCGGCTGGGGTCCTCCGTGGCCCAAGCCGAACAGTTCCAGAAGCTTTGAAGTGAGATGAATGGACTTGCTGGGACTGTGTTGGACGTTGGTTGAACAGCTAGAGACAAAGTCACAAATAACCCATGAGCTAACCAATCTGCACAATAGGAGGATGTGACTTTATTGAGAGTTTCAGAGGTAGGTGTGTAGGAGGAGCTGGAGAGCAGCTGAGTGGAAAGGAGAGGAATGGTGTTGGGTTTTAAGTGATGGAAAAGTACCAATGTAGAGATGCTGCAGCTGCAGCTCATTGACCTCCACTCACCACACGCCGAGCTGCTCCCCCAACAGGCTGTTCTCTCTCTATAATTACAAATGTGTAACAGTCTTCTTGTGAAAAATGTAAACAAGTCGGATAACGTTGCTGCAGGTGTTTTAAGAGAATTACCTAAATCCATTTTATTTCACTTTACCAACCTTGACGTGCTCATCAGTAACACCTTGTATGCTCTGACCAAGCAGAGTCAGAAACTGGGTGCGTTTAAACTTGCCAGGTATTCCTACGAGAAGCTCCAGGAGCTACACGTTCCCTCACGCTTCCTGGACTCCATTGAACTGGGCAGCCTCCAGATTCGCTCCAAGCCTTTCCATGACAGTGAGGTGAGCATGTGTGTGGTAGCTGCTCTGAAGTGCTAGCACTGACCTCTGTGTCGTCTAATGGAGGCCAAACATACTGTGTTTCCTGCAGGACCTCATTGAGATCATGATGTGCTACCGCTGCTCCACCAACAACCCCTTTCTGAACAACCAGGGGAGTGTGTGCATCAACTGCAGGCAGCCTTTCATCTACTCAGCCTCGTCATACGGTCGGTGACAGTTAAACTATTATCCTAAGGTGACATTTGCTTTTATGCTAGGCCTGTAAGTGAATTCTTGTTGTTTTGCACAGAGGTGCTGCCTCTGGTGCAGTTTTACCTGGACCAGGGTATCAGCGACGAAGAAGCCCTGTCTCTTATTGACCTGGAGGTTCCCCGCTTAGATCAGGGGAGCGCACAGGGGCCCGTTAAGGACAACAGCAGTATCCTTTAAATGTCACTCCGCCCACAAACATCTACTAACACCAAGTAACAGGTTGCTGACTTGATTTGTATTAAAAATGAAGTCCTTACTCTGCTGGTGCCCCGGCAAACTGCACATCTCCTCTAATTGAAGCATGTGGCTCTCATCTGTCTGGTGACAGTTCTAAGAAGCTGTTTAGTCTGCATTGGCCTTGATTCTGTGCTTGTGGGTAAGCTGTCAGAAGTAAGTCATCTTAGCTCTTGAGCTAATAGGGTTAGGGAGGCTCTCCTGGCTCATCTTAATGACACTAACCCTCAAAGAGCCGTAGCCACAGCCCTGGTGCGGGGATTAACCTGCATTAACCGGCAGACACTCAAGGGCACCGAGGTGTGTTGTGTTCTTGCCGGGCCTCGCTATGACTGACAGGCGCAACAGATTTTAAATGCATTGTTTCTCGAGGGTTATTTTGATCAGGCTATTTCCTGTTTTTGCAAAATCCTTGCATCGTAAAAGATGCTAAGTTATATAATGTGCATTGGTTATTTATTCGTCCTTCATTTACACAAACAGAACTACAAGCTTTGAGGATGGCTGATGGTTTAGGTGTTACGGAGGAAGATCCGTTTACAGCCAAAATGAGCTTTGAGGTAGGAAAAGGACGGCTGGAGTAGATGAGGTGATTAATATTCAGCCAGCTGGGCGAACCAGCTGGAGAGGGTGAAAGGACGGAGTTGGTTAGAGGGTGTGTTTGTGTGTCCAAACAGCAAGGGGGCTCTACCTTTGTCCCAGTCAAGGTGAGCCGTTCGGTGCTGGGCTCCATGAGCAGAAGGGACGTCCTGATCAAACGCTGGCCCAAGCCACTCAAATGGGAATACTTCCGCTCCCTGCTGCCGGATGTCAGCATCACCATGTGCCCCAGCTGCTTCAAGGTGCAGCATTTACACACTCCTCTTCTAGTGAAAATTCAACTTCACCTATGTTTTAATTTTGATTATCTTTTCAGATGTGATTATTGTAGCGTGCTTCCATGCTTCCCTCTCTGTGTTCTCTTGTAGATGTTTCACAGTGAGGACTATGAGCTCCTGGTGCTGAAGCACAGCTGCTGTCCCTACTGCCGCAGACCCATCGACGAGCCAAACTGATCCTCTTTACATGGGAGACACTTTACTTTTTGTACCCTGGAGAAAGCTAGTATTTTATTTTCTGCATTTATGTAAAGTAATGAGCATGTTTGTTGTGTGTAAACCTCTTAAGAGCAGCTCTGTTACCCAAAGATGAGTGTTTGTTTAGGCCTTGGTCATTAGAAAGCACCATCAATCCAACAGGATTAAAAAGATTAGGTTACCTTAAGCTGTGAGTACATCATAACTTTGTGTACGACCTAAAACGATGTAAAAATTATACTTGTTTTGCAGATCTTTTTAACAAGTAAGATCTAATATTTATGTGCATTTTTCCATTTTTTTTACAGCTGTTTAACTACGATAAGTTGTTGTTTATATTGTACAAGTCCCGTTAATAAAACGTCTATAGATTTGTGATCGCTGTGGTTTTTATTCATGAAAAACGAGTGTTAATAACTTTTCCTCTTCCGGTTTGAACCTTTGTGTTTGTGAAGGAGCTGGAGGGAACGAGAGCACATAACCCTCTGATTACACCTCAGGCTATAAGAGGAGCTCTGTGCTCGGCGCTAGTTAGGGATTAAGCTTTTACAGATGCAAATAAGTTGGATTGCTTCGGAAATTTCACTTGTAGTCTGTCCACTCTGAGTGGTTGAAGTCAAACCTTCCTCTCTTCTTTTTCTAATGCAGCAGTGATGCACATGATTGTAGTTAATGGGTTCATTTAACCACGGTTATAACTTCTCACTTTAAATTTTGCTGTGCTTCTTTCTGTGATTTTACTTTTCCTTCCTAGAGTTTTCCCCCTGTGACACTTTGCGTGTTAAAGCTGCACCGACACCCTTAGACCGTGTCTTAATTCCATCTCCGCTAACACTTCGTTTCATCCTCATCTCTAATCCGCCAGCGCTATTAAAAGGTGCTTGCTCCTCCTCCAGGGGCTGTGAAGAGCCTATTTTTTGGGGTCAGTCCCTCATTTCCACCTTGGTTGCACCACAAGGCTGGGTAATAGTGCTTCTGCGAGGCACAGCTTGTTTGGTCCAGACCTCAGAGGAAGAAGAGGACAACAGCAGCCATGAATGGCACAGAGGGACCCAACTTTTATGTCCCCATGTCTAATAGGACTGGGTTGGTACGCAGTCCGTTTGAGTACCCTCAGTACTATCTGGCCGAGCCATGGAAGTACTCCCTTCTGGCTGCATACATGCTGTTCCTCATCATCGCCGCCTTCCCCATTAACTTCCTCACCCTTTATGTCACTGTCGAGCACAAAAAGCTGAGAAACCCTCTGAACTATGTCCTGCTCAACCTGGCGTTGGCCGACCTCTTCATGGTAGTCGGAGGCTTCACGGTCACTCTGTACACGGCCCTGCACGGATACTTCATCTTAGGTGTCACCGGCTGCAGCGTTGAGGGATTTTTTGCCACACTAGGAGGTAAGTGCCGTGTTGTCCCCATTGGGTTATGGTATTTGTGCTGTAGTGAAATGGACCTGCTTTGTCTCGTGTCCCAGGAGAGATCGCCCTCTGGTCTCTGGTGGTTTTGGCGATAGAGCGCTACGTTGTGGTCTGCAAGCCGATGACCAACTTCCGCTTTGAGGAGAAACATGCCATTGCTGGCCTGGCGTTCTCGTGGGTCATGGCCCTGACCTGTGCGGCCCCCCCTCTCTTTGGATGGTCTCGGTAAAAACTGCTTTGATGATTCAGATCAGCAGCGACACATGCATGAAACAGACTTGCAGCATCAGATTTAGAGTATAATCGTGCTGACTGGATATGTTTTGCCATCGTAGGTACATCCCAGAGGGAATGCAGTGTTCCTGTGGGATCGACTACTACACTCCCAAGCCTGAGATCAACAACACCTCATTTGTCATCTATATGTTTGTCCTTCACTTCTGCATCCCCCTCTTCATCATCTTCTTCTGCTACAGTCGCCTGCTCTGCACCGTGCGAGCGGTAGGAGCACACTCTGTGCAGCATTAGGAAATAAGGATGTGATATATTGTCTATCGCTGTAGAACGTTATTTTCCCTCTATCTGGAGGACGATAGAGCACCATGGAGTCTCGAGAGATGCAACAGATTTAGTGGCTCAAGGACACTTCAGGAGGGCAGTTCGCTGCCAACATGCCAGCTTTTACTGAGGTCTTCAAGCTAAAGGGCAGTCAGCTTTCTCACTGTGTCATCCTCATGCCCTTTATAATAACCATAAAACAGCTTTAATAATGCATCAGCAAACATGAACCGTAAAAATGTGGCTGTTTGGGGTCAAACCTTTTGCTAAATGACAATTTAAGCATCATGTCCAGGATTTACTGTGACTTTCTGTGTTGGTCCACGCTTGTTTTAAAGAGGAACAAACTTAAGCTGCATAAATATCTCAGAACCAAATGCCCGTTATTTGCAGTCATTGAGTAGATTAGCACATGGACACATTTTGAAGCTAAAAGCTAAAATATTTCCTTCAGCTCTTGTCAAAAACCTAATGTGCTTCCAGTTTGTGGTTTCCATGAAATTTCAGATACTAAACAGTTCTATGTTGCCTAAATGGACTGTGAGTCGGGTCAAACAATCAGTAAACTGCACCAACTTATCATGTTGTCAAGTTTAAATTTTTTATGTTAAATTAGTTAACATTTAGCAGGATTAAGATTTGCAATTTCATATCTTGTGTGTGTGTGTGTGCGTGCGTGCGTGCGCAGGCTGCAGCCCAGCAGCAGGAGTCGGAAACCACCCAAAGAGCAGAAAAAGAGGTGACACGTATGGTGATCGTGATGGTGATCTCCTTCCTGGTGTGCTGGGTGCCCTACGCCACCGTGGCTTGGTACATCTTTGCCAACCAGGGAACGGAGTTTGGACCAGTGTTCATGACCGCACCGGCCTTCTTCGCCAAGAGCGCCGCTCTGTACAACCCAGTCATCTACATCCTGCTCAACAGACAGGTAGGACTTTAAATGGGAATGCAACGAGATGCATTTACTTCATTTTTCAAAAAATTTCCTCTCACTAACAAGATGGGTTTTACTTCACTGTGGGGTTATACGTGAGTGAAGTGATTATAAACGTATTATTATTGTCGTAATTGTTCTAACTTCCCTCTGAATATTCTGTGTTTTAGCTAGATGAGACACACAGGAATAAAAAAAACATAAAGATGTCTTTATAGTTTCTATTTTCGGTCTCCTTCCAGAGTCATTGTATGAAATACAGCAACCCTGTTCCTCATTTATTGCTTTAATGGTTAAACAGAAGCTCAGATTGAAGCATTGAATTGAATTTTCTGTATGTGTCCTCTTTAAATACATTTTAGTCAGTAATACACCATTCTTGTACTGCTACTTTAGCTGTTGTGTTTCCGTGTTTTTGCATTTGCAGTACTTCTGTGATTCATCCTCGACTGAGTAAAACCGTTGAAAGTGAGACAGATTCTGCCTTTTTTCTCCATTGTGGTCTCCAGTTCAGGAACTGCATGATCACCACCGTGTGCTGTGGAAAGAACCCATTTGGAGATGATGAGGCCTCTGCCGCTGTCTCCAGAACCCAGACTTCATCTGTCTCCTCCAGCCAGGTGGCCCCGGCTTGACCCCCTCACTCCTCCTCTATCTGCTCCATCTGTTACCACTCACCCAGGGACCCACCAACGCCGAGCAGCAAATCCTGGGATTGTCCAATCCTCTCAACTTACCTCTCCGATTGTCCTCACCGCAGTTGGCAGCGCCACAACGTCAGTGGGACAGACACCATCAGGAGCCAGCATGTGTACTTTCAGCTCGTTTAATCATGGAAAGTGTTCAGCTGGTCTCGCAGATTTTTAACCCGGCATCAAAAGGTTGCCATCTTGGTAGGATTCCAACTGAACACTGTCCAAGCTCCCCACTAACCCCCCAACATGTCATAGGTGAAAATGAAATTCAGATGAATGGCTTCAAATTTGTTTTATTTAATATTTGGGTTTACTTAGATGTTTATTTCTTTAGATATTCAGCAGTTTCGTGTGAATCGGATTATTCCCTCCTGGTTTTTACGGTGGTGGAGATGAGATGATACGCTTGTTGTTTTTCCCAATTGGAGTAAGTCCGTAAGATGAGGATCTATGTGTCTGGCAGATGTTTCTGTATCTGAAAAGGTGCCAGAATGTGAGTTAAATGTGTGTATAAACAGAGATATGAGCAGTATTTTCTTTGTTGTGAAGACGTGAGTTTGTAGAAGTCATTTTATGTCTTGCAATTAAAACACAAGCTGAGCGTTTGCACGGCTTTTCTCTTAAGCACTTTTTTTTTCCTCCAGAGTAAGCTTTCTGAGAATCTGCAGATGCATTTGTGGGCTTTTGAGCAGAAAGGCTGTCAGTTGTTGTTAAAGCGCTGAAGTGCAGCATTTCATGACCTTCTGTATAAACGCCATTATCAAACACTTTAAAAATCCTTAATTTTCTGTCATTTATTTCACAAACAAATCATTTGGCATCACGTTTACAGTCTCTCCTCGATTATATTGAGCTCAACATTTACTTAAATGTAAATTTCCCTCTTTAAATTGATCACAGTCCAACATGACGCTCATTCGTTCACAAGCACGCTGATTAACACTTGTATACTGATGCAGCTCTTCCCAGTGAACTGCATTAAAACATCTGATTTAATAGTGATCAGTCTTCTCTCCGTTCCTCGTCCGCCTGCCATCAACCTGCAAAGCACACTGGGATGTTCCTGTTTAAAGCACCAGTGGGAGCCTGTCGCCCATCTTCTTCCACTCAGACCTGAGAACGCTGCAGGCTTTAGGAGATGAGAGGAATCAGCCGTGGTCCTACTAATCCTGAAGAAAGGGCCTCTTCAAAGCGTTATAACACATCTATAAATATTGCTATGAACATTATATTACAGTTCAGTGCATCATTGGCTCGTTCCCTTAAAAAAAATAAGGGTTCAGTGTGTTAAAATGGCCACCAGGGCTTACTGTAGGTCCCAGTAACTGTGCAGGGATCCAGGAAAAGCTCAGAATTCCATCACATTTCCTCTTAAAGTGTAGCAGAGCCAGATTTGGAACTCTGTGTCATGGGAAAATATTTGGGAGACACGTTTGCAAATGTATGACGCTTGAGAGGCAGGTTCAAACACTTTGCCCTGCCGCTCCAGCAACAGTCAGTGGGAAAGACACGCATGAGCAAACTCTGCTTAGTGGCATTCCCGAGTTAGCCATGTGGGCGGGAGGAGGGCAGCAGGAGGAGATGCTGAGCGGAGGAGACTTGGGGCAGGTTCAGGCTTCGCTGCAGCACTCGTAGATGTTGTCCTCCATGAGGGCGATGACCTGCTCGAACCTGTGGTGCAGCTGAGTGCGACGAGCGGTGGGGTTCGTCTCCAGAGCGTTCACCACCTGATGAAAAACAAAACAAAAAGAAAACAAAGATGACTTTCAGACACTGTTAATCGTTCATGCATCCATCTATTGGCGGAGTCAGAAAGAGAGGCAGGAAGTCAGCCGCCTGCCTGGACACAGAAACCATCGAAAGCAGCAGAACTAGTCAAGGGCTCCAGCCTCTTCTCCTGCTTTCCTGCTTGCCTCAACACCACAAAAGATTTTGCTCTTCACAAATTTACAAAACCCACATCTGCTCTGTTTTTCATTCAATAGTTGTCGCCGTGTCAGTGGGATTTATGGGCTCTTAGCAGCAGTGTGCTAGCAGGCAGAGCAGAACTGAGCCGGGGAGAGAGAATAGGCAATCAGGGCCATTCACGCGGCTGTGTGAATCACGGTCTAAGCCCCTGGCCCGTGTCAGTACAGTAGCATGACGGGGAAAAGCAGCTAAACGGCATTACTGTGAGGGTGCTCCATGCAGTCATCACTGACTACGCCTCTCTAGAAGAGAGGAAGCATGAGGGAGGACAGACAACGAGGGCTAGTTCAATGCAGAAAAAGTACATATGAAGCAACAACTTAACAGTGTCATTAGGCGGATGGGGGTGTTGGCTCGTGAGAGGGTAAACAACACGCTGTTTGCTTAAAGTGAAAGGTGTCTGTGGGCTGGAAAGAGATAAGTGAACACACTGAATAGTCTCTGCTTCTTGGACGAGAGCCCATATCAGATTGTTTTCCTTTTAACCAGAGAAAAACAGCTACTTAGTGCATGTATTTAACTGTCCACAGTCTGTTAGATCTCCCCACATAGCTGCGATCTGACATTCTGATATGTCACGCTCTGATAGCCATCTGGAAACGTAATACAGCAAGTCGGCTCAACTGAAGTGCAGCAGCTGCCAACACAAAAGCCATTTAAAGGTTTCTGATCCACATCTGAGAACAGAAACATGATCTCTTACCTGGTTTCTGTATCTCTTGGCATATTTGTAGATTTCTGTCAAGGCCAGGTTGGTGTTGAACTCATTTCTGTACTTCTGTAAGGCAGAGGTTCAGTCACAGTCACACTCTAACATCAGGCTCGCGTGTGAAAACAGGCTTTTGAAGAAACAAAATTTTCTCTGACTTACTCTCGACTCCTCGGCCAGGTGAGCGTTCATCTCTTGCTCACTCAGAGGGGACATGTCCTGGATCTGCTTGTAGTAGCACTGGACTCTCTTCTTGTATTCGGGGATTTCCTTGGCATACAGCAGTTTGTTAGTCGGGGAGTCCTGTAGAAACAAATAATTTGTTCAGATGTACCTGAAATATCCGACTGCGCTGTGAAAGATCGGCTCCAGGCAATATTCTATTAAAGGTGTGGTTCACTCAAACATTTGCAGTGGTCTCTAGTAGGGATGAAAGCCTTGTCTGTCGTGCTCTAGGTACAAAAAGCCCCGGTGCGTCTGTTTCAGAAGATTCCCAGATCAGAGGAGAGCTTCAGACAGCAGGATGTGGAGTCTTACTTCTTGATGTTTGGACATCTCACCTCTGATTAGCTAACAGCAATACAACTCTACCACTGTTGATCTTTTCTCTTCACAAATAACACAAGCCTGGATGAGTTCTGCTGAGTGGTGAAGTTGCTAATGCTAACAGCTTCTACTAGATGAGGCATTCTCTGCTGTTTCCTGGACGCTAAATCAACAACAGCCTTCCCGTCGTGAGTGAAGATGGGTGAGTCCATGAATGTTAAGTGACAGTGTGATGTAGATCTGTCAGGATTTTCAAATCCTAGAGTTTCACCGTCTATTTTCTATCAGAAACTAATGTAGGAGACTATTTTCATGTTCAGCCTGCATAAAAAACTCAGAGCGACTCATTATAATCATCATCATCATCATCATCATCATCAAGGCTCCTGCGAAGGGTCAGATGTCGTCCCGCACCAGTGCGTTGAGCCAACCAGGTGCACCAGTTGTTTCCAGTGCTGGCGGTTTTGTGCCAGCTGCTCTGCATTTGCTACGGCAACTCATCGAGCCATCGGGTGCTACCCCGGGTCGTCTCCAGCCTGCAGCCCCCGGTCAAACTGCAGAATGGCTCTGGCCGGATGGTCAAAAGAAAGATGGAGGACATGGCCAAGCCAGCGGGTGCAGCGTTGCGCTGCCAGGCAATATACTCTGGGCTGGCGCATGCATTCTCTTAGCACTTTATTGGAGAACCGCTGAGGCCACCTGATGTTCTCAGTGGTTTTCAGAGCCCTGCTATCAAAGACATTCATTCTTGTAGCCATAGTCTTACAATCAGAAGTAACAATTGCATTTGTTTTCAGTGTACCACACCTTTAATGACTACAGTCAGCCAGTGAGAGAGAAACCAGGTATGAGTTACCAAGGTGCGCCCAATCAGCCACTGGCAGCAGCTTTAACATTTCTTTTGGTTTTTGTTCTTGTTTCACATTTTAAACACTGGCAATTTATCACATGTTAGATTAGTAAAGTGTACTTCTAACCTAGGAAGTTATACTTATGTTGGACTTTTTAGGCAGAAGCTGAATTTCCACCGAGTTCTTCAGAAATGTTCTCTATTTAAATCTACAGTTTCTTCTCACTAGAAGTTTAAGTGAAGTCATATTGATTGGAGATAGATTTAGTAGATTCACGAGTCAGATCGTCATGTAAATCTTGCCAACATGACTGTCCATATAAACAGGCATGGGCGTGTTTGCTTCCACAGCCAGACCCTGATTAGAAATGTTTCAACCCGGTCGGTCGGTTCCTATGGCCACAGCAGAGTCGCTGTACGAGTCTAGGCTCAGGTTTTTTCTTCACTTGTCACTTGATGATTATATCTAGAAAACACATGATCAGCCTTTAGAGCCCGATGTGTCACGATGGTCGACTGGGTACGGGAGTTGAGCTTGGTAAGGATGTTAGAAGGCTGGATTATTCGGTAGAGAACTCTGTTCATGGATTTCAAAGAAACGATGACTGAGTGAAGAGCCGGTGCGGCGTCTTACATATATAGACTTGGGAGTGACTGGGAGAATGCCGGGAGTTCCCGCGAGGAGCATGCTGGGAAATGTGGTCCAAGATGGAGGCCGGTTAGCTGGGAGAGACCGGTCCGGGGGCTTGGGCTCTGACATGATGCCCTCTAAAGATAAAACTGTGACACATTAAATAAGGGATTCAAAGTCAGACCACCTTGAACCTCTCTCATGTTTAAATGCTAGAATTAAAACTTACAGCAATGTGTTGTCATCATTTTTAAGCACAGGTGAAGACTTTTATCTCCTGCTGTTTTTCCAGTTCTCCCTCTTTGCCCCGCTTTTAAAATCCATCTTTACAGTTTTACCTCTTAGCAATCAGCTGTCTTCACCCCTATGTTCCTCAAATCCATCACTTCTTCTAGCCGTGCTTCAAGTATTATTACAGACCAGTCATTTTGTCTGCTGCACAACCCGCCATCATGCAATCAGCTTCAGGATGTCCAGGGAGATGCACCTGACACTTTCCATCAACCTCCTGCAGACCTTGCTCGACCACAAATCAACTCCAGGAATATTATAGACTTTAAAAAAACAGATGAATCTAATCATCACAAACTATTTTTGGTTTCGTCCATAAAAGCTGGAAATTCAAAATGACCTCCTTTTCTATAATAATGTAACAATCGCAGCACCTGGTCGGTGAGACTTCTGGCTCTTTCCATAAATCTGTGGTAGCACAAACCAAAATTACACACCAAACTCCAATCTTTGGTAAAAGAAAAATTAATCACCTTTACTAACATTTCTTGAGCTGTTGCCCTTAAAAGTAGCTGTTCCCTTGAACTGGATGGTCAGCGACTATCTGAAGCGACCCAAAGTGAGACAATGAAGGCAGGGAACAGCTTCCTTTCCACACAACAACAACGGGACTGATGAAGAGTCGGAGCCCGGGAATGTTCCAGTCTAAACAAACCTCCCCACACGGGTGCTTATTCAAGCAGCAGGAAACGTAGCAGGGCTAAAAGGCTGTGGGCACATTCGAGTTTCAGTGGTGAATACTGTTGTGATCTCCGTGTTTCATGTGTGCGTAAGTGTGTGTGTGTGGGGCAGGGGCAGAGAAAAAGTAGGACAGGGAAACAGAGTGTGTTGAAGAGACTGGCAGGCACAGCTTTCAGCGGTGGTGAGGGTGCTTACAGCGCACCTTAATATTCCTACGTGTCACGAGTTATTTGTGTCACCTATTGTGCGCATTAAGCTTGCTGAGGAACTGAGCGGCTTTGGCTGAAGTTGCTCCTTCTGATAGGAAACCCTCTCTCTTCCTGTTGACAAGGTCACGTCTTGCTGCTCGTCCATCTGCCTGGTGAAGCCCCCCTCCCGTGACCCCGTGGCCCTCAACGCTCTGCATCTCGCCAGATGAGACGGTTTCTTTGGAAACCAAAAGTGACGCTTAGCTTCGACCTGCTGAGCTGCTGCTGATCCAGATGCTGCATCCTTCACTGCCTTGTCCTGTCGCCATTGCTCACACACCAAATAAACACTCAAAATAAAGCGGCGTGTCAGGCTTTTCTACTCGACCCGCTGGAAATAAGCAGCCACATCCTTGAACCTGCAGCTCCATTCTGCATCCACAACCAGATGTGGTTTGACTATAAAGGAGCTGCAGACACACCGTCTCATCTCTAAAGGTTTTATGTTTGTCTTTGCACCCACAGACAAGTATTTGCCGCTGAGAGCGCGTCAGCGTTTTGGCTCTGAAATGAAGTATATAAATCAGAGTGTCTCTCCGTGAAAAGGAGCTTTATACCAGGAGTCCTCAGCAGCTCCCTCCAGGGAGGAAGTCGGTCAGAGAGAGACAGGAAGCAGACCGTGCTGAGGGTCATGGTGTCTGAAGGATGAGACAGATTTGTGAGCGGGGAGGACATTGACATGCAAACGTGCACACGGAGACAAGCAGATAGAAAGATGGCCAAATCCATGCACACTGCGCGAGCACGGCATAGAGAGACACCCCTGGTGCTCACGACCTTGGATCAGCCGAGTGGGCTGAATAACACGAGGAGAGGTGGATGTAGCTGACAGTCTGAAGGCTCAGGGATGAGGGGCTCAGGAGGTGTGTGTGTGTGTGTGTGTGTGTGTGTGTGTGTGTGTGTGTGTGTGTGTGTGTGTGTGTGTGTGTGTGTGTGTGTTGACTTATGTATTTAATTTAAGATAGGAAATGATAAATAAGTTTTAAAATGTTGTCAAGAAGAAACAGTGCATAATCCAGACTCATGAGGTGTGTCCGCATAATTTTATTTTTAACAGAAAATTTCTATAAATTGTTCATTAATCTAAAAAAAGGCACTAATTTGCAAACTCTTAGCAGACCAGGTCCAGATTGATGGTGCAGGTAAAAGCAGAGTTACAATAGCAGCTAACAAGCTTCACAAAGATGCTTATTTTTCAAGGATTTTCTTAAAATAATACAGATGAATTTGGAGAGAAGTAATTGAATAAAACATGCAGAGTGATTTACTTATTTTTGCTTTCACAAATTAACACCAGTTTCAGCATTTTCTCACTGAAAGCAAAGCATTTCTTGAGTTTGCACCTGACACGGCTGTGATTGTTGCAGCAGGGAGGGTGCAAACGTGTGGTGCAACACCAGCGAGAGGAGAAAATGCGTGAAGAGGGCCTTCGTTTGTGCAAATGTAAAGGATTTGGAACGCAAAAAGTCGACGTTATCAGAGCATCTGCCAACCCCAGTTATTCTCAATTTAGGCCAGAGGCAGAAGCAGGAGAGAGGGAAAAACAACAACCCAGAATCCCTCACCGCACAGAAACAAAACCTCTTTCTGCGTTTGTTTTTGAGTTTCTTTATTTTGTCTAAATAATGTTCACTATAATTTAGCTAAGAGATGAGAATGCAATGAAACGCTGCAGGTTTGTAATAACTGTGATTCCAGCTTTAATGAAACATTTAAGTGAAGAGTGAACTTTTATGATCTTATTCATCATTTTTGTTCTTATAGAATAAAATACTTTGATGTGAGCCACAAAACCATCTTAAAATTTTAAACAAGTGTTTCAGGTTCATGGTGAGGATTTTGCAGACAAGAAGCTGCTTGTCTCCTGTCGCACGTCAACAAAATAGAGCCCAAGTCTCGCTATTCAAATTGTGGAAATAAGAACAATCACCGTCACCTTATCGTGGTGGAGGAGTTTGAGTGCCCTAATGATCCTAGGAGCTATGTTGTCTGGGGCACTTAGTGCCCCTGGTAGGGTCTCCCATGACAAATTGGTCTTAGGTGAAGGGTGAGACAAAGAACGGTTCGAAGGATCTTTCATGGCGGTTAAAACGAAGAGTCGGAGTACCCGGCCCGGAGGGTTACCGGGGTCCCACCCTGGAGCCAGGCCTGGGGTTGGGGCCCGTGAGCGAGCGCCTGGTGGCCGGGCTTTCGCCCATGGGGCCCGGCCGGGCCCAGCCCGAACCGGATACATGGGCTCGTCCAACTGTGGACCCACCACCCGCAGGAGGAACATGAAGGGTCCGGTGCAATGCGAATCGGGTGGCAGACCAAGGCGGGAGCCTTGGCGGTCCAATCCCCGGACAAGAAAACTAGTTTTTGGGACATGGAACGTCACCTCGCTGGCGGGGAAGGAGCCGGAGCTTGTGGCAGAGGTTGAGCGGTACCGGCTAGATATAGTTGGACTCACCTCGACACATTGCACTGGCTCTGGAACCCGAGACCTGGAGAGGGGTTGGACACTCTACTTTGCTGGAGTTGCTCCGGGTGAGAGGCGGAGGGCTGGGGTTGGCTTTTTGTTAGCCTCGAGACTCTCTGTCTGTGTGTTGGGGTTTACCCCGGGGGACAAGAGGGTAACTTCCCTGCGCCTTCGGGTCGGGGAACGGGTCCTGACTGTTGTTTGTGCTTATGGGCCAAATATCAGTTCAGAATACCCACCCTTTTTGGAGTCCCTGGGACGAGTGCTAGATAGTGCTCCATCAGGGGACTCCATTGTCCTGCTGGGGGACTTCAATGCTCACGTGGGCAATGACAGCTTGACCTGGAGGGGTGTGATTGGGAGGAACGGCCCACCTAATCTGAACTCGAGCGGTGTTTTGTTATTGGACTTCTGTGCAAGCCGCAGTTTGGCCATAACGAACACCATGTTCGAACATAAGGATGCCCACCGGTACACTTGGTACCAGGGCAGCCTAGGTCACAGGTCGATGATAGATTTTGTAGTCGTATCATCTGACCTGCGGCCGTATGTTTTGGACACCCGAGTGAAGAGAGGGGCGGAGCTGTCAACTGATCACCACCTGGTGGTGAGTTGGATCAGATGGCAAGGGAACATGCCGCGTAGACCTGGCAGACCCAAACGCATAGTGAGGGTCTGCTGGGAACGCCTGGCAGAAGAACCTGTCAAGACGGTCTTCAACTCCCACCTCCGGCAGAGCTTTGACCACGTCCCGAGAGCAGTGGGGGACATTGAGTCCGAGTGGGCCTTGTTCCACTCTGCGATTGTCGAGGCGGCTGTTGCTAGCTGTGGTCGTAAGGTGGCCGGTGCCAGTCGTGGTGGCAACCCCCGTACCCGCTGGTGGACACCAGAGGTTCGGGGAGCCGTCAGGCTGAAGAAGGAGGCCTACAGGGCGTGGCTGGTCTGTGGGTCTCCGGAGGCAGCAGACAGGTACCGGATAGCCAAGCGGGGTGCAGCAGTGGCAGTTGCCGAGGCAAAATCTCGGGCGTGGGAGGAGTTTGGTGAGGCCATGGAGAAAGACTATCGATCGGCTCCAAAGAGGTTCTGGCAAACTGTCCGGCGCCTCAGGAGAGGAAGGCAGCAACTCGCTCACACTGTTTACAGTGGGGATGGGGAGCTGCTGACGTCAACTGAGGCTATAGTCGGACGGTGGAAGGAATACTTTGAGGAGCTCCTCAATCCCACCAATGCGCATTCCGAGGAGGAACCAGAGCTGGGAGGCCTGGGGATGGACTGTCCGATCTCGGGGGCAGAAGTTGCTGAGGTAGGCAAACAACTACACAGCGGCGGAGCCCCGGGGGCGGATGAGGTTCGTCCTGGGTATCTCAAGGCTATGGATGTTGTAGGGCTGTCATGGTTGACACGTCTCTACAACATTGCGTGGTCATCGGGGGCAGTTCCTAGGGAGTGGCAGACCGGGGTGGTGGTCCCCATCTTTAAGAAGGGTGACCTGAGGGTGTGTTCCAACTATAGGGGGATCACACTCCTCAGCCTCCCTGGAAAGATCTACTCCAAGGTACTGGAGAGGAGGGTCCGATCGATAGTTGAATCTCAGATAGAGGAGGAGCAATGTGGTTTTCGTCCTGGCCGTGGAACTGTGGACCAGCTCTATACCCTTGCAAGGGTGATGGAGGGGGCATGGGAGTTTGCCCAACCAATCCACATGTGCTTTGTGGATTTGGAGAAGGCTTATGACCGTGTCCCCAGGGGCACCCTGTGGGGGACGCTCCAGGAGTATGGGGTGGGTGGCTTTCTGTTAAGGGCCATTCAGTCCCTTTACCAGAGGAGCGTGAGTTTGGTCCGCATAGCCGGTAGTAAGTCAGACCTGTTCCCAGTGAGGGTTGGACTCCGCCAGGGCTGCCCTTTGTCACCGGTTCTGTTCATCACTTTTATGGACAGAATTTCTAGACGCAGCCGTGGTGTGGAGTGTGTCTTGTTTGGTGGCAGGAGAATCTCGTCTCTGCTTTTTGCGGATGATGTGGTCCTCCTAGCTTCATCCAGCTCTGACCTTCAGCTCTTGCTGGGTAGGTTCGCGGCCGAATGTGAAGCGGCTGGGATGAGGATCAGCACCTCCAAATCTGAGACCATGGTTCTCGACCGGAAAAGGGTGGCTTGCCACCTCCGGGTCGGGGGAGAGGTCCTACCTCAAGTGGAGGAGTTTAAGTATCTCGGGGTCTTGTTCACGAGTGAGGGTAGGAGGGATCGGGAGATCGACAGGCGGATTGGTTCGGCGTCTGCAGTGATGCGGACGCTGAGCCGATCTGTCGTGGGGAAGAGGGAGCTGAGCCAGAAAGCCAGGCTCTCGATTTACCGGTCGATCTACGTCCCAATCCTCACCTATGGTCATGAGCTTTGGGTAATGACCGAAAGAACGAGATCGCGGATACAAGCGGCCGAAATGAGTTTCCTCCGTAGGGTGGCCGGGCTCAGCCTTAGAGATAGGGTGAGGAGCTCGGACATTCGGGAGGGACTCGGAGTAGAACCGCTGCTCCTCCGGATCGAAAGGAGCCAGTTGAGGTGGTTTGGGCATCTGGTCAGGATGCCTCCTGGACGCCTCCCCGGGGAGGTGTTTCGGGCATGTCCTGCCGGCAGAAGGCCCCCGGGTCGACCCAGGACACGTTGGAGAGGTTACATCTCCAATCTGGTCCGGGAACGCCTTGGGGTCCTGCCGGAGGAGCTGGTGGACAAGGCCGGGGAGAGGACGGCCTGGAGCTCCCTAATTGGGATGCTGCCCCCGCGACCCAGACCCGGATAAGCGGAGGAAGACGAAGACGAAGACGAAGAAGAACAATTGGAAACAAGTCAATAAAAGCTATTTTCTAATCCCGTTTGTTACGTGCCCTGGATTTCACATATGATGGAAAGACACATTCTGATGCAAAGAAAAACTGTGGCCAAAGTTATAGGTTTTGTGTGAAGAGACGTACGGAACTACAAATGCTCGTCTCACCATATTTTTGCCATCGAACGAGACACAAAGAAGAGAAGACTGTTTGAGCGAACTGCAAATCCTTCTGCCAGGATGACAGAAGAAGCATGAAGCCGCTATCTGGCCATGCGGTAAGTCGCAGCTACGCAGATGAGATTCTGCTGTGATGTGTGTGAAAAAGTTGTAATTTTAATGACCAATTTTTACAAGCGAATAAATCTTAAACTACGTGACAGACGTGGTTGAAACACACATCATGTGTTTGATTCGGGGTGTAAGGCGTGTGGAGTAGAAAACAGCTTCCATAGCTCCAGTCAGGGACTCGTGAGCCGACCGGAGACTAAAGCTACCTATGACTTCATCATTTTTGAGGGAGTAAAAGGGGAAAACTTTTCCTTTAAGCTGCCACTGAATTTACTTTCACTGATGCGGCATTTAGTGCCGATTCCCTGAACCTGCGTATATTTTCTAATGTTTACATTTAATGAACTTTTATAATCATGTCACTGCAAAAACCAGCCAAACAACTCTAAAAGTATACAGAAATCCAGGGTCAATAATAAATATTACAGTAGAGGCCAGGTCCCACTTTTCTCTGTAGATGGAAATAACTTTGAATCCGTTATTTATCAGCAGGTCCAAGATGAAACTAGGGGCTAATGACTTCCTCTCCTAACCTACTGCCTGCCAGGGACCTGTTCAGCGATTAAAAACGTGTGTCTTATTATTTCGTGTGAAACACTGAGCCTGAAAACAGGAAAGGCTAGTAGCTTAGTCGTGAAGGGGACCGTACCTTGCCTAGCTGCAGGTCAGAAATGGAGCAGGCATCGATGAAAGCCTGAGCGATGACAGACAGACAGGCATCCATGTGATCTGTCTTGTCTATGTCAAACACAAACTGGGGGTTCTTCAGGATGTTCACCCAGAAACGCAGAGGTAAACTGCACAGACAGGGTGAGATATGCTTTTAGAGGACCCACGCACCGAGGCTCTCCAAAGGGAAACTCAGATCATAACATTTAGAAGGCTAACCTATTAGTTTTCCAGATGTGCAGGGTGTCTGGGTCTGTGATTCCCCGTTTGTCGGCCTGCTCTTCCAGGAAGTCAAAAAAGTATTTGACCGCCAGAGGTGGGCGTTCCGGAGGAATGCAGAGGATGGCCTGAAAGAGGTCATCTAGGAACTTCTGGAGAGTTCCCTGTGGAGGAAATGAACACACGCTTCATTTAGATGGAGATTTGATGAGATGTAGGAATTTCTGTGTGGTCAGTGAGGCCCTAAAATTTGACACAAGAAGATGGATTGTGTTTTGACGTGATGTCGCTGCGAGCGTTCTCCTGTTTCTGATTACCTTCGTAGACAGCAGGCGTGTCAGATAGATTTCTGGCAGGACTTTCTTGCGATGGCTGTGTCTGTGCGCCTTCTTAGTCTCTATTAGCTCATCGTGAGGTAAAACCTGGAAAGCCAGAGGTCAACATTACTGCACGCAGGTCGAAGCGGGAATGCTTCCTGCATTAGACGCACAATCCCGAAACCACACCGGCTCGTTTTTAAACAGAACTTAAGAAGCGATGTGAGTTGGGGACATTCTGCTCTTTTTTCCCAGTTGTTGGGAGCTTGATTGTGTTTCTGACTTGCTCATACAAGTCTCAGTACAGATGGGGAGAAGAAAGAAGCCAGTCCACCTACTGTGCTCCAGATTAGTCCAGAACTGTCCTGTAAAACTAACTATTCACCCAGCAAATTGTATTCCAAGAAACTCATTATTATAAAGTCAAAAGGGCCCATATCTTAGCGGACGTTTATGAAAGAGCTTAAGCGGCATTAGCGCTGTCGTGTCCTCTCAGCAGCTTTCCCTCTCACCCCCGTTCCCCCCCTCGGTGCTCTCTTCATCAGGAGTGCTCTGAGCTGACTAACGGCAGCACACAGGAACAACTCTGGTAATACATTAAAGTAGAGGAAAAAACTCACCAAGTGTACATATTTCTCTGTGTCCAGATCTTTAACTGAGAAAAGACAAAAAAAAGGAAAAATGTTGTATTAAACAATATGTAATTACTGCGGTGAGGAGATGGGATGATAAGATGGGAGGAGGAAGCACAAAGAGAGACAGATATGAATGAGATGGGAAGAAAAGATTGACAGGAGAGCAAGGGAGATATAGTGCAAAAGAGAGAGATTAGGATGGACTGAGCCTGGAGGGGAGGGGAGCTGCCGGGGAGAATGAAAGAGAAAGATTACGAGTGAAAGGAGAGAGAAAAGAGGAAGATTAGGGGAGACAGACACACGGAGTCTGCGACTGGTTGTGGAGCTGCTGTAATGAGATGGTAATTCTCGACCAACACTGGGAACAAAAGCATGGGAGCTAGCTGGTTTATATATAGATCTAAACACAAACATTCTCATACACATGCATGAACGGATATGAGTACGAGGATGATCGTAGATTCATGTTCAAGCACCAGCCCAAAGACAAATATAGAGTCTCATCCTGCACGCGGCTGCTGAGACAAAACAGCAGCGTATGCATAGATCCACACGCACGGTTAGCGTGTTCTCGTTACAGCCGGCGCTGCCAGAGCCGCTCCGGTCCAGCAGGCCGCAGTCCAGACCCTCAGCACTGATCACAGGCAGGCAGGACACTGTTTCATATTGGCCAGGGAGCACTACAGGCTCATAACACCCCCCTTGACGCTTTGAAGCAGGAGCCAGGTTTGGTGCACTTGAGCTTATTTTTGGCGCCGCATGAATGAGAGGAGCAGCTCTGATGGACGCCGGCTGAGCAGAAAGCGGCTCTGCTGCGGCGCTGATTATGTAAGGTGGACAACACCCAGAACCCCATTAAAGGCTGAGTGTAAACGCATGTGTCAACAGGCAGAGCGGGGTTGACGCTGGACAACGGGCCAACATGTGTCACGTATGAGCTGACACCTTCTAACGGAACATATCTGCAGCTCTGAACGTGCCATCATCCTGAGAGTTTGTCTTGTAATTTGGTGGAACAAGTGTGTGTGTGTGTGTGTATTCAGTATGGAGGGCTGCGTGATTCTGTGTGTGTTTCCAATGGAGGATTATGTTCTCATAGCAATCCCTGGGACTGAGTGTGTGTCCACATTTGGATGAGTGACAAAGCGACATAGAGTGGGCGTGTTTGAAGGGCACGTACCTCTCTCCAGGGTATTTCCTTTTATGTCTTTCATGCTCATGGCGAGCGACGCTCCCTCTGGAATCTGGAGGGAAAAAGGCATAGAGGTGAGAGAAGCCAGAGGCCACGGGGTCAGGGGTGAGCTGGGGTGCATCAAAACAGTGTCTTTAAGCATTCCCTTAAGGGGAACGAGCTCCTCAGAGGTGTGTGTTTGTGTGTGTGTGTTGGCGGCTCGTTGGTGGGGGCCTGGCTCGGCTCATTAAAGTCAACCCGCAGAGAAATGGATTGAACAGCCTGGCCAGTGAACCCAGACTGTTACACGCTTCGGCTTGCTGCTTCCACTGCCCCGTCCCAGCAACTCACCCAAAACTCAACCCTTAACAGGTAACAGGTCAAAGGTCAAGAGCCACATCATGTTTGTTTACTCACACACACACACATCAGCACAGACATCAACACACAAGCATCCCTTAGCGGAGCAGCACATTTACAGGCTACATTTATTTTTGTTGGAAAGTTACTGGATGTTGCAGGTGAAGGCTCTCCGTCGTCCGTTTATCCAGCGGGTGCAGATGAAGGCAACTGGACATCTTTGGTTTCTTGTAGACGTTTTGCTCACCTGAGGAGCTTTGTCAGTTCTGACTGGAATATAGGATTTATTATAAACTGTAGCTGTCTATTGTTGCTTAACAAGCTGAAACTACCTATGAATACCCGTCCCCCTACCCCGGAGGAGTCGTCAGAGTCATTAGGCTCTATTGTGTGGGAATGGTTGTTTTGATTAGGTGCAAAGCTGCATTATAGCTGCTGGAAAAATGAAACCTGAGACCTCTCCCTCTGTTTAACGTTGGTCTTTCCCGTTTGACACGGATAAGAAACGAGGCAGTTACAGTTCATAAGCCTGACTCTCCCATATTCCAGTCAGAACTGACAAAGCTCCTCGGATGAGAAGCGAAACAGGATGTTGCAAAAGTTTCTAATAGAGTAAATCTGAAATTGTGTGCTTTGCATTTACATCAACCTTCGTAAAAAAGCAAAATAAAAATAATTCACATTATTAGTTCATATGATTTGTAAATTAGAATCTAATTCAAGAAAAAAGTATTTTGAGAAATTATGGGGTCAGAACTGTTTTGGTCAAATCTAGAAAATACACAACCACATCCTAGGATTCTGTTAGTGCTTGGAGTGTGTGTCGTGAACGACTCCCAGCTGGAGTTACAGCCATTGCTGTGTCTGCTTTAGGTTAGCCAAGGTGGCCATCTTGATTTACTCCAAAAGTTAATCTGTAGTAGATTACTTTCTGGGTTCAGTAAAATTCTTCCAATGGTTCTTGAGATGTTGTGCTAACAGATGGACAAATAGGGCAGACTCCAACAGTTAATGCCAAAGTTTTACGCAGAGATCTTCTGCAATCTGTTCATGGTTGGTGTTGAGACTGACTACTACACCAAACTGTAGCTCAGTGTCTGTGGAGCAAGGTCAGGCGGCTCTGACATCAGTTGTAATGATTGTTTTTTACACTAAAATCTGGTTCATGGGGTAATAAACAAACACAGACTCAGGCAGAAATGGGACTTCCTTTTACCACCGTGTGATAAATGTGAAAAGCTTAAAGTTCAGATGCAGCATGTGAGGATCTTGGTTTCATGCTCAAGTCCTAATTAGCATGAACATCCTGCATAATACATTTCTAAAGGATGACTTGGCATTTCAAAATTAAACTTTAGAAAACTATGTCTATAATAAAAAAAAGTAGTTTGAAAACCAAAACAATCTAACAAAAAGTCTAAAAGCTTCCGGTAGCATTTGCTTTGGCTCAGAAACCTATTTCTAATTTTGTCTCAACAACCATTAAATGGAGGAAATAATCTGCGGATTTGTCAAAAATTAATCAAACCATTAGATCTGGTGTGACACGTATAGCTGAGTACCATCTTTATCATTAACCAGGCGGCATTTTTGTTTACACACGACAAATATAAACTATAATCTGATATTTAATGTAAAATAAAAGAGCAATCAGACTGTTTTACCACAAACGAGTAGCTACTGTGTTTTGTTGGTATTTAGGTGAGTATGTACCGGTTCAGCTGCATACGTTTTAATATGCAGCTCCTGAGCAGATGGTCTTAAACATATTACCACAATTTGGAAAAAATGTTTCTCATTTAAAAACGTCTTCAATAACAAAAAGACACGTGGAGTCAGTCTTTTTAAATTAGCATTTTAACTTCAAGCATATTGCATTAATGAGATGCAGTTTTAAATAAGCCTCCCTCCACAGATGAAAGTGTTACTTTAGTGGTTGACCTTCATCACGTGGCTTCATTTACATGCAGCATGCACCAAGTTTGTTTTCACTTTCATCTACAAAACAGCTAAATCATCTCCCAGAACAATTAAGTAGAAAACACAGTAAAATGTAAAGTTTAATTTTTAGGGCGTGCGAGGAGATGTAAGGCTGGCCTGACTGACCTTTAAACGTGAACTTTCACAAGTTCACTACAGGCACTCTGAGCCTGATGGAAAGGGTTAGACATCACAGCAGCTATGCAAACATAACCGTGAGATTAGCACACGGTGAAACTCATGGACAGGGTAATTAACAAGGACCTGGTTTACCAAAAACATTTTTTTCTTCACCCGCTTTGCATAAACAGCCACGACCTTTTCCTGCAGCAAATGATCCGTGCAAAAGATCAGCAACTCATACTACAAAAACAGTCAGGAGCAGCCAGAAACCACACGGAGTTCACACACACACACACATGCATGCACGTGCACGCACCTGGTAATGAAAGACTGTGTTGAGCTTCTTTCGCCCGTCTTCCATCACTGAGGAGTTGTCCAGGTCCTGCAGAAGCCTGCTGTTGCTGCCTGAGTCAAACCATTCTGGAGCAAACAACATGAAAGAAGGTGTTACACAACTTCATCTCAAATTTGGAGGAGAATAGACGAGAAAAACGCCAGGCGTGCTCCAACTCCATGTCATGACCTGTGAAAATATTCCCAGGCCATTAATCAAATCAGCTCTGCAGGCTCCACAGCCTCTGAAAGCAATAACTCTTTGTGATTATGACTGTACACTCTCCTCAATGCATTCTGTCATTTATTATATTGCAGCCTCGGGTTAGTTGGGCTGCATGAGAAGAATTGACCTTTTGCAAAGGAGATTACTATGTCTTGGAGGTTTGGGGGACGGGAGAGGATGAAAATAATCAGAGAGAATGTGTCCGTACCCAGGTCCACGTCCTCGGCTCGTGGCCACTGGGAGAACGGCAGGTTTTTGTAAAAGGCTTCGATGATTTTTTCTTTGACCTGGCAGATGGTGTCAGTATTCATGACTCTGACTGACAGCGAGTCCATGCCACAGCCCTGGAAGGACACGTTGATGTTCTGTGGAAACAAATTGAGACACATTTAACAAACACGCCTTTGACAAATCACTTTGGCTCAGCAATCGACTGAGGATGCCACAAATTATGTGTGTGTGTGTGTGTGTGTGTGTGTGTGTGTGTGTGTGTGACCTGTGGCTTGGCCTCAACGTTCTCACGCAGCAGCCACTCCTCGTTGAGGGTGTAGCGGGCCTTCCCGGTGATGGCGTCTATGGAGCCCTTGTTGATCTGCTGCTTGATTGCACAAAGCAGCAGGAAGAAAGGCTCACCCACCGTTTCCTGTACAACAACAACAACGATAATAGTATATAAAAAACATAATAATAATGATAATAATAATAATAATAATAATAATAATAATAATAATAATCTGGTCTGTGAGCTTCTGTTTTACCCACCCTTTTCATAAGTCTCCCTCTTCCCTCACCTTCAGGTAGCTGTACATGCATATTGACATCCAGTTGGTCAACATTTTCTCCACAACAGACTCGGTGCGGCGCAGCATCAGTTTGGGGTTTCTGGAAGCCGAAGCGTCGATCAGATCCACCAGCAGGTCTTTCATGATACTCGTGTAGTACTCAAGTTTACCATGGAGGGCGATGGTGAGCAATGATGCCAGGCTGCATCTGGGGGGGGCAGATTAACCAAAGAAGAGGGATGAGAAGAAACAACACATCCTTGTGCAAACGCGCTCCAGCAGTGAGTGGTCAGTGGAGGTTTAAAAATAATAAATCACAGAAACCAAAACAAGATTTGCTCCACCTCGCTGCACCTGTGACTGTGGAGCCAAATAAATGTCTGATCTAATGCAGAGGGTGTGTGAGTCAGTGTCCAGAGGTGCGGGGGGATTTCCCTCACAAAGCCTCCCTAATCCAGCAGGAAGAGGCTACATCAGTCAGTAAGTGCTGATGCTGTGCAGGGACTGTGGTCGGGCCTCTGGAATTTCTCTCTGAGTCACAATGATTGGTTAGGTTTGGGACACCACGAGCACTTTGTTTGTCTCATTACTGAATAAAGCAAAAAAATAACAAAACAAATGATCCTGAACACATTTTTATAGCTTTATTAGCAGCGTGTGTTTAACAGAAACAGACAAAAGGCCAGCGACCAGCAGGAGTTGTACTTCTGGACTAATGTAGGTCAAATATTTATTTTTACTCCTACCATCTCTCGGGTCACATTTCTGTGTCTTTGTTAGCTAAATCTACCATTTTTTACATTTACTGCTTTGGGCTAAAGAAAGCCAAATAAACGATTCTCTGTCTGCAAAGAAGAACAACATCTGAACGGGTCAGAAAACCTAAACAATGCTGAATAAAATACTAGAAGTGCAGAATGAGGTGATATTGTTTGTGTTATGTTGTCGTTTGGCTCTGCAGCCCTCCACTTTAGCTGTTTCCCTCTAAACTTGAATCAACACTTCTCACTTGGCTTCTTCCTTGGTTTCATTTAGGGAAAGAATGATGCAGGTTATTTACACAAAGAGCTGATTTATTTATTTTTTGTGTGTAACATTAAATTTCCTTCTACTGTAGCTCAAACATGGTTTGGCTTTCTACCCGTCATCCACACACACCCCCAAACAGCGCTCGGAGTGGTTTTATATTCTGAAAGTGTGTCAGCGGTGGCTGAACCACAGTGAGCGGACACTTTGCAAAGGTCAACACAAAATAAAGGCTAGGTCAGAACTCGTCTCAGCAGCATTAAAGATGTTACTCATGTTGAGCAGATTTAAAGGAACTTCACAGAGAAACAAGTGAGCGTGAGTGGCTGATGGGGAGGCTACCTGTCTCGCACGGCGAAGTCCTTCTGCTGCTCCAGCGCGTGGACGAACGTGATGAGGAAGTGCTTGTTGTTCAGGAGAGTGGAGAACAGAGTGATGCCCTCCTCGATGTTCGGGCGTGTCGTGTTGGTGGCCTGATGACAGAAGATGACAAAGGGCAGAAGAAACATTTACTCCCCTGTGTGATTTCATCATAACTGGATTACCACCTCCCTAATCTGTTTCACCGCCTCTTGTCTTCAAAGATCCATCTACCGAACGCCTCATCATCACCGTAGACACACACACACTTCCTCAGGCACCTCCCACTAAAGTTTTCTCCTGCAAACCCTGATCCAGTCCCTTATTGCGAGGGATTGTCGCTAAATGTGCCGAGTCGACTTAATGAGTGTGGCCCATCAATGGGTGCTACTAAGCAGCAGTGTGATGAAGTCTTCCCTCTGGACCGCAGCCATATGGTGTGGTTTGCAGCCTGACAGAAGGAGAACAGGGGTGTCCATTAAGATAAATGCCCGCCTCTGAGATTTATTCGCGGTGACCTGGAAAACACTTCCTGCGAAGACGATGTGGATCCAAGGCACTTCATCACTGTTAGACAGGCTCCCCTGGCTGCCGACCCAAAACTAGCGCTACAATCTTTACTTTGTCTCGTTAGAAGTTGCACGTACACACGCACGCACGCACGCACGCACACACACACACACACAAAACCACTGGAGATGGTTAAAAACTAACAGTTTGTTTGTCCAGAGCCAAAAGGGGAAAGTGGCAACAACCTGAGAGGAAATTGTTTTTTACGCCTCACTTTGAAAATCTAATCAGTTACAGTTACAAGTTACCCCACTGGAAATGTAATGGTAGTGTAACTGTTTCACTAAATTCATTAGACAAATGCAACATCCATCCATCCATCCATCCATCCATCCATTTTCTTCCGCTTATCCGGAGTCGTGTTGCGGGGGCAGTAGCCTAAGTCGAGAGGCCCAGACTTCCCTCTCTTCAGCCACTTGGGCCAGCTCTTCCAGGGGAATCCTGGCCAGGTGAGAGACATAGTCCCTCCAGCGTGTCCTGGGTCTACCTTTAGGTCTCCTCCCAGTTGGACGTGCCTCAAACCTCACCAGGGAGGCGTCCAGGAGGCATCCTGACCAGATGCCCGAGCCACCTCAACTGGCTCCTCTCGATGTGGAGGAGCAGCGGGTCTACTCCGAGCCCCTCCCGGTTGACCGTGCTTCTCATCCTATCTCTAAGGGAGAGCCCAGCCACTCTGCAGAGAAAACTAATTTCAGCCGCTTGAATTCACGATCTCGTTCTTTCAGTCACTACCCAAATCTCTTGACCATAGGTGAGGGTAGGAACGTAGATCGACCGGTAAATCGAGAGCTTCACCCTCTGGCTCAGCTCTCTCTTCACCACGACAGACCGGTACAACGCCCGCATCACTGCAGATGCAGCACCAATCCGCCTATCGATCTCACGCTCCAGTTTTCCCTCACTCGTGAACAAAACCCCGAGATACTTAAACTCCTCCACTTGGGGCAGGACCTCATTCCTGACCTGGAGAAGGCATTCTACCCTTTCCTGAATCAAGACCATGGTCTCGGATTTAGAGGAGCTGATTCTCATCCCAGCTGCTTCACACTCGGCTGCGAACTGCTCCAGCGAAAGCCAAAGATCACTTCCTGATGAAGCCAACAGGACCACATCATCTGTAAAAAGCATAGACTGTACATACAGTCTATGCTTAGAAATAGGTTTCTGAGCCCAGTCTATGCCGGTAAAAAGCAGAGACCTGATCCTCAGGCCACCAGAACGGATGCCCTCCACACCATGGCTGCGCCTAGAAATCCTGTCCATAAAGGTTATGAACAGAATCGGAGACAAAGGGCAGCCTTGGCAAATAGAAATGCAGCAAATTACATTTAATGACCTTTTCTAACATTTAACTGAATGTTAAGCATTTAGCATGTAGCCGTCATCGCTTCTCAAATGTTTAAACCTTGCAGCAGCACTCAGCCCTGATTCTGTCAGACTCCTCTTAAACATTTCAACCACGAGATAACATGACAGTAATTTATCAATGACAGTATAATAGCAGCCACCCAGGGTCAGACTGCAGCAGCTCTTCTAATCTGAGATCATTCTGAGTTCAAACTCAAACTAAAACTTGAGCATTTAACATTCAGGAGCACTCAGGAAACATTATCCAAACATTATTAAGCAGCTGTCTTATTCAGGAGAGAAATTTCATTATTGTGTGTTTCTGAGTGGGAGCCATCTCTGTCTAAGAGCCTGTTGCTTTAAGGGAGGAGGTGCTGCTGGGATGTCGTAGTGCAACTGGAGAAAAAAAGTTTGCGTATGCACCAGACGCCGTCTGATGCATCAGTTGTAGAACCTGGTGCACAAAGGTTTGCATATCTGGTATGTAGAAGATACTCTCTGGTGCAAACAAATTAGTACCAGCTGCACACAATTTTGAAGAATTATATGTGCAAAAATGAGTATTTGGTGCATGCAAGATATTACCTATAGTGCACACAAGTTGGTAGCTAGAATACATCGACAACAACTTTGGTTTTGGCCGATGTTAGTTATATTTTATTATACCAGTAGCTGTCTGAAAACTAAAATTGTTCACTCATGTGGTGTTATACTGGGCATGTGATGCAGTCGATCTAGGTCCATCTAAAGTAATAAACTGGGAGCCTTTATCCTGGCTTACATGTACGTTGAAAACCAAACCCTCAAATGAAGTGTGTTCCACTCCGGTACATTAGGCGGCAATATGCACCCTTTCCTGTTGGCATTCTTCTGTTTAGCTTAAAGCTGCACAGATAGTGAAGCAGACTGGACAACAACACTGCAGCACAGCTCATCTGGTACGTACTGTACTGTTTGATGGTGTTAAACACGTCACTTTGTAGCCATGATATTATCAGAGGACCCCTTCTGAAATCTCGTCACTCCTGTAAGTTAACGGTATCAGCTCGACTCAGCCGTTTACATGCAGATGAAGTCGGGTACCTACCGCATTACCTAGGTGCTTCAGCATGATTTGCACCAGTTCACCTTCAGCAAGACTTACTTGTTTACATGCATTTAAAAAAAACATCTGTCTGTTTAGGGCAACAGTCCGGTTTTCTGTCACACATGTAAACGCATTGATCGATGGTGATGCAGCCCAGGATTATGGGGTGTTTAACTGAAGCAGAGAAGCTATGTAGGCGTGTTTGCTTTCACATGTTGTTGAAAGTGTAGCGTAGTATGATATGATTTATCATTTAATATAATATTACAACTTAATATTTTATATTATATGTATATATAATATTTTATATTATATTATATATATATATATATATATATATATATATATATATATATATAGTTTATCAACCATAGCAGCAATATTAATAACGCAAACATTTTATCGTCTTAAATTTTCATTCTGGTGCATCCCCCATGTAGCTCCACAACTAATCATATGGTACATGCAAGTTAATATCTGGTGCAAACAAATTACCAGATGCACAAAAAATGAATATTTGGTGCACAAATGTTAATTTTTGGTGCTGACAGAAAGCCCTGTGATGTCTCGTGTCCGCTATAGAGGATCTGTAAATGAAAGACTGTTTAAATAAGCTAAATAAATGTTAATTAACATGCAGTCGATTTAAAGCAGAAAATAACTAGCAGTAATGCAAATTACAATTACTTTTGAATATTTTTATAACTGTAATTTCATTACAAATGTTCCACTGTAACTTTTATGAATTACAGAGTTTTGAAGTTTGTTCTGAAACAAGGAAAGAGTTACATGTAACTTGTGCATCGCTCCTTAAAAAGCATGACATGACACACATCAGCACTCAGATTTACACAAGCACTTGTGAGCTCACACAGACACGCTCGTCAAACACATTTTAGCAACCACACAGAGTTTCTTTACTCCTCATCAAAACTTTCTCTGCCAGAAGCTTGCGTCTGACCTAAATGTGATCCGAGGAAACCTGAGCAGCCACTTCACCTGCCAGTCCTGCAGCAGCGGGTGGGTCTCTGGAACCACTCGAGGTCCAAGAGAGTCGTTCTCGTAGGTGGGCTGGACCAGACTCTTCTCGTAATCAGAACACATCTGAAACACACACGTAGCACACACATAAACACACATGTGGAAGTAAAACAAAGTGAGCTGTGGCTGTAAACACGGGAAGAGCGACTGACAGGGAAAATAAAGATCTGGCCTTCGGCTCAACGCTAAAAGAGAGAAGAAGAAGCACAAATCTGTGACACCAGGAGTTGTGAACAGTAAAGGCTTTGAGACAAAGGGAACTAGAGCTAAAAGGCGGCCTTTGAACACAGTGTGTCACACACTTGGCCTGTGCTCTGACTGTGTCTAACACTGTTGTGTGTGTAATCTCAGACATCCAGAAGCTCTTGTGGAAAAACGAGGGCATGAAGTGTTGTCAGAGGAGTGTTTGCTGCCTTAGCGGAAAACCTCGCAGACGTGATTGCAGGGTGGTGACGCTCGTATTTGTTTCCCTCCTCGCAGCTTTCCAACACTAATTTCAACCGAAAATCTGCGTCCACTGTCCACTGCAGCCAGCGTGACTGCCATTGTGCAAGATTATCTATCCTTGTGAAACAGCGTGGGCGTGCACGCTGAGTAAGGAGTGTTTTCAGAGAGCAGGAGGGAAACGTCCCTCGTCTTGCTGCCCGTCATTGTTCTGTCTCCTTGAAAGTCCATGAATGTGGTTGTGAGACAAAGCCCCCTGAGTTGGGCCTGTCTGTATTGGTGGAAAAACACCCACCCACTGATTTGCTTACAGCCTACCTGCGGTGTGGATCAGAAAAACGCTTACCTATTGGGAACACATTAACTCTCCTGCAGGGTGCCAACTTTTCTAGACGTTTACTGTGTATTTAAAAGTTCCGAGGTGATTTTTTTTTTGTTATCCTGCATATTTCAAGCAGCAGGAGATGTGAAAAGGGGACACAGAAGGATGGAAATATTAAATCCCCAAGTGAGAAAAATGGTATTGTCAGTCTGCCAGGTGAAATCAGATAGCAGGTTAAAAATGGGTTTCTCACCTTGGGGAAGAACGTGCGAGTGACAAACTGTTTGTACTCCAAAAAGGGAATGCCCTGGCTGCGATTCAGCTCCTTGGTCAGATCCGTCATGTCAGTCTGCAGCTCTGCAAAGCCTGAGGTCAGACAGGGAAGAAACAAGAGCTTGACTTCCTCCCTGGATCATCGGGCTTGATTTCTCGCTAAGCTAAATCTGTCACAGTTCTGAAACTATTACCATTCATGCTGAAATTTGGGAGATTTGAGTCGATTCACAGTTGCATCCTTTCATTTCCCACATCCAGGGTCATATTCCTTTTGAAAGTTAACTGTAGCAGGGTGTAATCCTGTGGTATTTTCCCTGTTTCTTTGCCAGACTGTGCAGCCCATTGCAGCATGCAGACCAATATTTACCAAATGCCAATCAGAGCTGCCAAATCCATTCTGAGGTTTTTATCCAGAACATGTGTGCAGAATGAGGTTTACATGCAGAAACAGTATCAGCATGTCCAAGCAGCACCGACTTGAGTCTACATGCTAATATTATAGCCGCTCTATGTACCAGCAGAGGGATAATGTTCTCCTCTAATGAGATGCTGGAGATCTCTTTATGGAAAAGTGCTTCCTGTCACAAGAGGAGAGATGTATTTAGGTTACAACAGCAGTTTCTACGGCGTGTTTCTGCAGCAGAAGAAAGTAAAATATCAAACCTGAGGGATTTGAAAGCATGTTTCGTGGTTCTGTTGCAGGCTATTTATCCTCCTGCTCACTGACGTGTCATCTAAACCAGTGCAAGTCCAGATTAAACGCACCAGGCGTGAATACCAAACCTCCCCTCTGCTTCTGTTTTCACACCAACACCTCCTGTTTTACTGATCCGTCAATTCCTCATCATCTCCAACCCCCCATTTGCTCTTCTTCTGTTCTGGCCCTTTTTCAGTCTCTGCAGAGGTATCCCTCACTTTTGTGCACACTCACCATGAACTCGGCCACAAATCTATCTGTGTCCTCTGACTAAATAACCTCGCTTCTCCTCCTCTTCCTCCCACGCCTCTGCTTCTCCTCGGGCTCGCGGTCCTCATTCTCGTTCCTATCTCCTCCTCCCTCCATTTCTCTTTTCTCTATCCATCCCCCCATCTCCGCACCATAAATCTAGGCGCTCAGACATGGAGTGGCCTTCACTTGGGTCTACTCTAATGCTCCAGATGCACACGTGGACACACACACACACACGCACGCACGCACACTCACACACACACACACACACACACACTCACACACACGCACACAGGCCTTCGTCCTTTGCGTTGTCTCTGCACGTGACTGATCACTTGTCACATACTTTGTTTTATGAGTCACGCTTACGAGGCACAAATCTGTCAACTATTGTATCTCCTTCCTGCTTCAGATAAGAGAACCTCCAAACCAAACTCACATTTCACACACAAAACAACGACAAACAGACAAATGTGTGAGGTCAATATTTCAGGCGTCTCGCTGGATGTTTTTTTTCACGTCGGTCAACAAAACCTGAGCACGTGGCACAGCACCAGAGAGGACGTTTGTGTTGTTCATCTAAACACACCTTTCCGGATCTCCTCTCTGATCTGGGACTCCATCTCCTCCATTTGGAGGAGCGTTTTCTGCCAGTAGCGTTCTGCCCTTCGGCTCTTCGTGCAGTAAACTACGAGAGCTGCAAAGAACAGCAAAAAGTGAGAAAAACCAAACAAAACACACTCTCATCACACACTAACAGCTTCCAGATCATAATAAAGGGTCAGAAAGAGGCCTGGAATATTTGGAATACAAAAACCTGTTCTTGTGTATCACATTTTTGTTGTCAGTGAAAAGCACTTGTTCACATGTGTTTGAATGTGGCAAGATAATAATGACAATAAAACAGAGATCTATATTACTGACAGTCTAAATAAAACTCAAACGCAGTCTTTTTATCAACAATCTCACACCTAAAATGTCTGGCAGGAAAAACAGAGGGCTTTGTGAATATCTGAGAGCGGATCCAAAATGGGAAATGGTGCGAAAATACTCAACAGAACCAATTTTCACCCATACACCTGCCCTGCAGACACACTTACTCCAGGATTACAGAAAGCAGTGTATGCTTGCACACGCACGCACACACACACACACACACACACACACACACTTAGACAGAGGGATGAACACTGGGGTCTTTGTGAACTGGATACTGAAGAGGGATGAAGCAAGTGCAAGAAACTATGACCCCAGAATTCCTTTTATCCGTTTCACATCTGGATCATCCATTGCTGCAGCAGGCACACATCCATCATCAGTCAGTAAGTGTGTGTGTGCGTGCGTGTGTGTGTGTGTGTGTGAGAGCCTAACCTACCCACTGTGCACAGCAGTAGGAGCACACAGCAAACCACGATGGATACCACGATGGCCAGCTCGCTGCCGCCGAGCTGCACTTTAGCAATAGTGTGATGAAAGTTCCCCACTTGCACCTAGAAAGAAAAACAAGACGAGAACCGGGTCACAATTCTTCAAAATCTGGACTGATCTGGTTCTGCTTGGACTTTTAACCAACACTGATCCTTTATACCCTACTAAAGCATTTCCACTTCATCAGCTTCTTTACCTAGCTAGTTTTGGTGTTGTTGTTTTTTTACCAATTATGAAAGAGTCATGGTAATCTCACAATGTTAGGGATTAGGGAATATTTCTGTGTGAAATCAGAAAGGAGCTCTAACATTTCTGCTCAGAATAAAGCATGATAACCTCGGGTGAAATCCTCCAAATATCCAGACCTCAGAAAGCATTTTGTTTTCATTGAAAACATTAAACTCAGAATAATCATTAATCAAATTAAATAATTTGATTACGTAAACAAAATGAAAGCCGTAAGGTGTAAACTAGTACATTTCAAAAGTTCCTTAGCCTCGATCACGAGGAATTTTTATCTCACGGGTCCAGAGAATCGTAAAAACATCCCAGATTTTTTCCCCAAACAGCGTCACACGTTAACGCTAAAGCTGCACAGAGATGATAAAAGCGCAGCAGCAGCGGTGCTTCAGATGAGCTTGGAAATGAAAAATTTATGTTAGTAGCAGTAAAAATAACTTCTGCACACCAAAGGAAATGAAATGCAGAAATATGTTTTTTTAAGATATGTGACTCCTCGCACAGATTTAATTTAAGCAACTGTTCCTGGGCAGCTGCTTGACAAATCTTAACCTTCGGTTGTCATTTTCCTTCTAGAAGTCTGCATCGTGAAACAAAGTCAAGGTAATAGAAGCAGGAAGGATAGTTAGGCTCATTTTTGTTGTTTATCCATGTATTTGACTAATTCAGGGGTTATAAATTTACCCTGATGCTTCCCATAGCCAGTTTTTATTCTAAACCGAGCTCATTTAGCTCCTGTTTCCAGGGTTTGATCAAACCGCTACCTTATATTTACTTATTTATTTAGAGCTTAAATTAAATTACCACTATTAACTAACATTTATTTGCTGTGTGAAATAATAACTTGTCGTGTGTTTTCACAAATTAAAGCAAGAATTTACAAGCAAAATATTAGAAATGTAACATTTAAGATGTTTTCATCTGATAAATATCACACCTAAACTCAAGCTGGTATCATTCCTTTTATTCTGTTACTGTTGACGTTGATTAATTCAGCAGAGGAAATTGCCTGACTTTGTAGGGAAAACTTTAATGAAAAGAGAAAGTCAGCAAGTAAAAAATAAAGCTTTAGGCTCTTATGGATTACTTTAATAGATATTTTTACTCCCTGGATTTAAAAAAAAGATGTGATTTAATACGACAGAAAACAAGGACGAGTATATTAGGTGACCATCTTTTCCCTGTAATAAACCTAAAAGGTATGCAGTTAAGCATTTCTCAGCAGCAGCACAGGTGTCTGCACACACACACACACACACACACACACACACACACACACACACACACACACACACACACACACACACACTCATACACATGCACGCACACATAATCACACACGTGCACACACACACACACACACACACACACACACACACACACACACACACATGTACACACACACACACACACACACATGCACACATGCACACATGCACACACACACACACACACACACACACACACACACACACACACACACACACACACACACACACACACTCATACACATGCACGCACACATAATCACACACGTGCACACACACACACACACACACACACACACACACACACACACATATGTGCACACACACGTGCACATATACACGTGCACACAAACACACACACACACACACATATACTCATACACATGCACGCACACATAATCACACACACACACACACACACACACATGCACACATGCACATATACACGTGCACACAAACACACATACACACACACACACATATACTCATACACAGGCACGCACACATATACTCATACACATGCATACACACTCACAAACATGGGCACACACACACACACACACACACATGCGCACATGTACATGCACACACACACACACACACACACACACACACACACACACACACACACACACATGCACATATACACGTGCACACAAACACACATACACACACATATACTCATACACATGCACGCACACATATACTCATACACATGCATACACACTCACATACATGCGCACACACACACACACACACACACGCAGATATACATGCACACACACACGCACATATACATGCACAAACACACACACACACACACACACACACACACACACACACACACACACATCCAAGCCTATTTATTTCCCCATAGAGACAGGTGCACACATGCAGAAAAAACATAATAAATTACACACCGTAGGTTTTGAGAAATGTTCTCTCACTGCAATGAGTTGGAAGAAGCCTCAGTTCAAACTAACCCAGATGTGACAAGGAAAAAAATAACTTTCACTTCTCCCTTCTGATTAGTCAGCAGGGTCTCTGTGGTCTCTGCTCACATCGGCCCCTCTCCTCCAACCCCAACGTTCTTCACAAAGAGAGACTCAGATAAAAAGCCTCCAATCCTCAAACCAAATCCTCCTTACTCCTGGTCTTACTGTAAGGAGGAAACTAGCTCATTAGGTTCCCTGCTATCCCCATCCCCGCTCTTCTTTTCTAGTTTACATGAACCGGCATGAGGAGGCCTTCTTCTAGAGGCTGCACCAGCATGACCTGATGTAATGGAGGGGAAAATGCTATTGTTCCATGTTCCTGTTTTGCTTTGGGGCCAAAAACAACATCATTTCCTCACATCCCCTTCTGCAGCACTTCAGAGCCTAGCTCAGCACTGGCATGTAAAGATAGATCTGTCTCTGAAAGTTTCAAAACACAAATGGCCACAAGCTTTCCCTGAATGCAGCATACATGCATTTATTTAAAAGTGCCAACACGAAAGAAAACAAACGTGTGCTGCTTATTTATGACCCTGTCAGTCGGGCACTGAAACCCTCCCTGGTTCTCCCGCGCGGGGCGGCCCACCCGTTTGTGTTATGACATCTCGTCTGACCCTTGCCCTGCCTTCACGTCGCTGCTAATTGCTCGTGTTTATTCTGAGACATCCTGATAGACAGATGAGGTGGGTGGGCACCAATATGCAAGAAGGGAAAAGGTGAATTTTTCCTGTGGAAATGAAAGCAACAGCTCTACCGATGACTATCAAAAACACATGTTTATTGAATAATTTCAGCAAACCACCCGTAGACCTGCTCATATTTCAACATTGATTAGGTCTTTTTTACCCTGCTTAATAAATGTCTATCTGAGCAGAGCAGAACGGATGAGAACACCAGATGGGATAGAGAACTGGGCAGAGGATTGAGAGCATTTGGATTTATCAGGGCTGCACAAGGATGATGTATGTCTGTAACTCCATTACTAGAAAGCAAAGAAAACAAGAGATGCTCACAGACTCAGAATAATTGTGTATCAATATGAGTGTCTGCAGAGATGGATGGAGTGACAAAGGCTAAAAGACATAAAACCGTTGATGAATACAGCATGTCAGTGTGTTTGTTGTTGTTTCTGTCACTTGTCACCTGACTAATGTCACCATGGCACGCTCTGAGGCTAGAAACCATTCATAATGCACCTAAAAGTGGCACCGACATCTTACTTGCAGAGCACGGGCCTGTGCACATCAAATCTGTTTCAGTTAACATCACAGATGGTCCTGATTCTGACTAAATATTTGGCTTAAACACTACATGACAGATGGGCGATGAGCTTAAATTATCGAGGCCTCTGTGGAGTGATGTTTTCAAGATGAGGTTAGGCTCGTGTTCGTAATCTATTGAGGTGTTTTCATACTTACTGTGACAGGCAGCTCGCTTTCGCTGGAGCTCAGCAGTCCGTTGATGGTGCAGTGGAACAGCTGGTCATTATGGAAGCTGATGTTACAAGGATAGGAGCCAATCATCACCGAGTACTCCTCCGGCATCAGCTCCAGGTCGCTCGGCACTTTCTGCTCCAGAATCATAAAAAAATCAGCCGTCATGGTGGGAATGCGACTTTGAACTAGCACATAGGAGCAGGGCTGCGGCTGGCCTGTTGTGTGACACGCTGGAAGGCAGTTCAGCTTCAAGCAGCAAACATTCCTCAGCTTTCTACAAACACTTGGGTCCAGCAGAACACTCAGCTCCTTCAGAAGCCTGTTGTAAAAAGATCTGCCCTACTTCCATCCAGTGCCGCCTCCCACTGCTGGGAGCCATTTTAACCAGAGGACCACTCCTCTGATTTTACACTTTATGTGTGACATTAAGTCATGTGGAGCGTAGAGGTTTCAGTATGGCTGCTTTGTGTCTTCCGCGGCTCTTCGGGGAGCTTCCTGTTCTACCCTGGTGACGTTTTCGTGGCTGTCATGGGATGGCTGCTTCACACAATGTGGGCCAGAGAAGTCACTGATGTTAGTAAAGATCTGTCAGTAAAGATTCAAGGAATTCTTTTAACTGGGATGCATTATGGGCATTTTGCACTTATGAAGCTGATCTAAAGTTATTCAAGGGACTGGATCCATTTGTCCAAACATTTTATTATTCAGCCTTCACTACTATTTTTTATTTCTATGGGTCTGTTGCAAATCCTGGAACCATCTGCAGGAGATTAAATCCCTGAAATAGCCCTTTAATGTGAATACAATAAAGTGCCTCGACTTGATGGATTCCTGCTTAGAACGTCTGCTGAAGACGTTTCTTACAAAGGACAGCCATTTTAGCCCTACAGGGACGTTTTATAGGGTCTGAATTTTACAGCTCTAATAGTTCATTGCCATATATATGCACTCCCCTGTGTGGGCGGTCGCCCTTCAAGCTCAGGTCGTCCACATGGACGCTGGAAGCTTGAAGGTTCTGCTCAGTTAATTCTTAGGCGTGTGATCTTTTGAACAGAGATCTCTGATGCTGAAGCGTTTCCAGTATTTATGGGTCAAAGCTGCAAATACTTCAATGAGCACTAATTCTGCTGTAGCCTTCCTTTTCCTCATCCTCCTCGCCTTATCAACTCTTAGTATTTTTAAATTCTCTAGCTTCTATATTTTCATCTTGGTGCTGGTGATACTGGGGATCTGTCAAACCCACTCAAGCCTTCATGGTGTATTCTGGTCCACACCTTGGTAATAAGTTGGAGCCTGTTAGAGGCAGCATGTCCACTGAGCCCAAACCACCACCTAGCTAATGGGTTGTGTGTTTATCACTGATTTGCATCTCATGATTTCTTCTCTTCAGACTTGTCTACTTCCCAGAGAGCAATAATGACTTATCTAGATACTGGGAACGAAAGAAAAACGAAGGAATAAACCACTCCATAAAAGAGCTTTTGATTCAACTGACTTAAACGTCTCAAAAGGAAGTTTACACACGTTTGGAAGCTGTAATTACTAAACTCTTCTTCCAAATTGGTTGAGAGTGATGTCAAATTAAGCTGAGAGTCTGCACTTTAAACCCGTAATCAGAAGAAGACTTTTACTGCAATGTGCTTGAGTTAAAGGCTAGAATAACACCAGCTCTTTTAGTCTTAAGTGTAAAGTTAACAAACGAGTCTTAAAGCCTCTGCCCTTTGACCTGAAAGAAACAAGGCGCAGAAAAATCATCTTGCACTTCATTAATGAGGAAACTCACGACATCCAGTTTACAGAGATGTTGAATTCAGAGTCTGAGTCGGAACACGTAACCCTAACCCCCTGCACACGTTCACAGTGTTTTCCAGCATCAAATAACAAATCACCAATAAATGTTCCTAAAACAAACCTATGGTCAGCGAGGTGACGTATAGGTGAATCAGCAAAAGTAGAAAAAAGCACCTGGATAATGTTTCTAAAACGCGTTTTTTTAGTCAGGATGTTCCCGTGTGTTTAGACAGAAGGGGGCGGGACTAATACTGCAGCCAGCCACCAGGGGTCACCATCTTGGTTCTAGCATCGCCTCCTGTTAATCAGTTCTGTGGTACAGCCTGCTCACATGACCACATCATTGTTTGTTCTTTGTAATTAACCCCATATAAACAAAGATATGGTTGTTATGATGACTAATCTGAATCAGGACCGACTAGCCAGCAGGAAGCAACAATTTCCCTTCAAGCTAACTGGGCCAGTTGAGGAAGCAAGTGTGTTTATCACTAGCGTTTCCTTTTAGTGATTGCACCCTGAGGGTCTCTGCTGCAGGATGCAGCCTCCTGCATTATTGTCAAAAAGGGCTTCCTCACAACAGACACTAGGAGCACACTCATTGTAGGAAAATGATGAGGGACACAATCCTAAACGCTCCACTTTTTCAAGAATCGTTGCCAAATTTTGCTCACTAAATTCTAAAATATAATCAACCGTTGTTCTTAAATGGAGTCATGCTAAATACTAACTTTTCTAGTAAAGAAACACTCTTTTCAAGTGGGATCCACCTTCCTTAAAAAGAAAACAGGAAACAACAGTCGAGACGCCCGCGTCGGCAGGCGGAAGCAGCCATTCCTGCAGTGGCCCCCTCCCAGAACACAGAAAAACACATAAAGTGGAAGTGGCATCGTGTTCGAACTCGCATATCTGTGCTTATGCCACATGGAGCCACAGCCAGCAGACCTTTAGGGTGATGAATCCGAGCGGACAGGTGCTTAGATCAGCCAGAACGTACAAACATGGAGCCTCCTGCTGAGCTGCCACGCACCCCCCACCTCACACCTCCAACTGAAATCAACATGTTTAACGGGACAGGGCCTTTGATGTACTTCATGGGGATCTGAATAAGGACACACTCAGCTGTAAACCACCGGGGGAGTCACGTGGTTGGTGGCAACACTTTTAGAGCCAAACAACAAGACAGAAAATATCTAGTTGTACAGACAGATGGGAAGGAGAGCAGGTCAGTCTAGCCTGAATATATTTGTAATTTATAACTGAAATTTTCATTAGTTTCAGTTTTTTTTAACCCTCATGTTGTGTTCTGGTCACGTTTGACTGACTTATAAGTTCCACCTCTGAAAACAGTTTATTTGTTCAGACTGACCTAAGATTCGATGACTTTGTCGATGAAGGAAGTGATCACACGAAGAACGTTTTTTGAGCTGCATACGGTTTTGTGCATTTTGTTCAACTTTTGTAAACTCTTCAATTTCCTGGTCATTAGAAATAATTGGGGACAACAACAGCTAGTATGAAAAATGAGCTCACGTTAGCTGGACACAAACATGTGCTCACGGACAAATACAAGCATAGACAGGCGCACACACACACACACACACACACGGAGTCCTGTTGCAACCACTGCAGGATCCTTTGCCCAGTAAGAGTCTCTCTGCAGCAGGAACATCGGTGACGGTTCTCACAGAACATCACAACTTTGTTTGGTACACTTTAAAAGGGTCCCGTTGTGATTGTTACTTAGTGCATTATTAAGCATTAATAAACTGTTAAATAAAGTATTAATTACGTAATGAATTACTAAGAAGACCCCCTCCTCCTGGCTCTTTGGTCTAACATAGTTAACAGTACTGAGAACCTTAATGAAGGGACCCTTTGTTTAATAATGCTTAATAAGGCTCTAAGTAACATCAATAAAGGCACCGTTATTGCAAAGTTTTACACATTGTTTCAATCTCAGTGACCTTTTCTCATAGCCTTAGGTATATACCATTTTTAAGACAGCACCATGGCATATCTATGTACTGTGAATGAAGTTCTTCAATGCCACATGGACGAGGAGAGGAGAGGCCAGGAAACCGATGATGAAGATGTCATGGAATATAATCCAGACCAAGAATTAGATGATGAGAGGGAATCCAGTGATGAAGAGAGAAGACCATGAATGGGACCTTGTCCTGGTCTTCACCCCCACCTGAGGAACAAGCTAGCTTTCTGAGGAACATGTCATCAGGATGACTCCAGGTAAGTGTACCTCGTCCCAGACAGATGACATCAAATCCTGCTTTGACTTGTTCCTGGCTGAGTCCATTGTAACCGCCGTAGTGAACGTGATGCTTCATGACTGAAATCTGTTTATGAGTTGTCACATGTGGCTGTTGAGGTTATGTTTTTTCGGTTATCAGGCAAAAACTCATCTGATTAGATGGTTATTGTGCTTCTTATTTGCTTTTAAATAATACTAATACTGGAATTAAGTGTCACGTCCAGTTTTGGGATGATTTATTTTTTAGACAATTAAAACATCCATGGATGTTGTTGACCAGGAACTTTAACCTAAACCAAAGTAAACAGTGGACCATGTTTACTGTTTTCTAGAAGTTCACAAATTGTTAGAATCACTTAAAACGATTAAAAAGTCTAATATAACAAATAGAGATATTATGTATTAAAACAGTATTTATGGTGAATCTAGTGGAATTTTCATTTTTGACTGGGACCACAAAGTGGTTGAACACAACATGAGGGTTAATATGAAATAAGAAAACATTTATTTTTAAAACTCCATCCATCTTCGGCCGCTTATCCGCGGTCGAGTTGTGGGGGCAGCAGCCTAAGCATAGAGGTCCAGACTTCCCTCTCCCCAGCTACTTTGGCCAGCTCCTCCGGGAGAATCCCAAGGTGTTCCCTGTCCAGCCATGAGACATAGTCCCTCCAGCGTGTCCTGGGTCTTCCTTTAGGCCTTCTCCCAGCTGGACATACCCAGAAAACCTCACCAGGGAGGCATCCAAGAGGCATCCTGACTAGATGCCTGAGCCACAACAACTGTCTCCTCTTGATGTGGAGGAGCAGCGGGTCTACTCTGAGCCTCTCCAAGAGGACCGAGCTTTTCACCCTATCTCTAAAGGAGAGCCCAGACACCCTGCGAAGAAAACTAATTTCAGCCACTTGTATCTGTGATCTCGTTCTTCTAATCGCTACCCAAAGCTCGTGATCATAGGTGAGGGTAGGAACATAGATCGACCGGTGAATCGAGAGCTTTGCCGTCTCGCTCATCTCTCTCTTCACCACAACAGATCGGTACTGCAGATACAGCACCAATCCGCCTGTCAATTTTGTGCTCTATCTTTTCCTCACTCGTGAACAAGACCCCAAGATGGCTGCGGGACATTATTCCTGACCTGGAGAAGGCATTCTACCCTTTTCCGACTCGAGACCATGGTCTCGGATTCAGAGGAGCTGATTCTCATTCCAGCTGCTTCACATTCAGCTGCAAACCACTCCAGTGAGAGCCGGAGATCATGTTCTGATGAAGCCAGTGGGACCACATCATCTTCAAAAACCAGAAACACAAGCATTAGACCACCAAATGGATCCCATCAACTGCACCAAGCAATCTTGTCCATAAAAGTTATGAACAGAATCGGTTACAAAGGGCAGCCTTGGTAGAGTCCAACTCCAAACAAGTCCAACTAGCAATGTGGACACAAACTTGTCATGTAAATAGCTGCATGTGCTCAGTGGTACCACGAAGAGCTTAACATTCAAATTTGAGCCGATCAAATAGGTTTGGGTTGCAGCATCCAGGTCTTCACAAATCTTCATTAGCAAAACACAAGTTGTAAAATACTAGCATAGTCACTTATCTGAATCTAGTAGAAAACTGGGACTGAAATTCATTATTTTAGGGCAAGTTTTGGGTTGGTTTGTCTGATTGTATCACCTCAGAATGCTTCCACGAATCAGACCTGAATAATAAGTGATTATTTTCATAAAAATCCTGTTATGTTGCTCACTACTTTGCGAAAAAGCAGATGCTGCAAACAAGAGACTCATCCACAATTATGTCAACTGACACGGTTCTCTCTCTTATCGATAGTCTTCTAAACGTGTAACGCTCATCTGTTAGACACATCAGGTTAGGGTGAGACATCAGTTCCCTGATTGGTTAACATTAAAGCTCGACTTTAAACAACAGGAAAGCACAAGTGTGACATCACAGTCTGAGCAGCATCACTCACGTTGATGATGAGGGTCAATGGTTCTCCTGAATGGTGCTTAATCAGCTTCTCCTTGTTGGCTGTGAAGAACTGAGGGTCCTCCACATATTCTAACAGGAAGTGACCTTTGTGAAGATCCCCATCCTCTTCCTCCTGCTTGTTATCAGAGGAGGAAGGACCGTCTCCGGTGTAGAGGACACCGTTCAGGACAAACTGCACAGAGGTTTCCTGGGACTGAGTGGATGCCGGGGATCGACAGATGATTGTAGACGAGGAGAGCACCAAACAGTCCTGCTGCCAAGAAACCAGCCAACGTGATGCCAAAATTGATTTCACACTTTTAAATCACTTAAACAAGATTTTTCATGTGAAAAGGATAACTACTTGGCTGATCGCTCACCATTTGTCCAATTTCTCGCACTTGCATGGTGACACTCTGCACCAGATCAAACCCCCGACCTGAAACGGTGATGGTCCTGCCACCGCTGTGACACGCAGGAACAGAAGCATTCAGCCATGACAAAAGATGCGTAACAGCCATAAAATGCATTAAATTATTGTTACTGATGCGGCCCTGGGGATGAGAGAGGAGCTGTTAAGTTCACCCACCTGAGGAAGCTCTTTTTCGGGTGGATGGAGCTGATTGTGGGGTTCTTCTCGTAGGTGTAAATAGTGCTGAGCTCTGAATTCTTACAAGGATGGTCTTCAAACTCCACACACACTGCCACTGACTCAGCGAGTGCCTGCAGGGCCGGTGGCATGACGCATTCAATCATCTCATCTGTTTTCCTGAGTTAAAAAATCAGATGAGGTAAACACTCTACTTGTGATTTCTAAAATCGTCTAACCCTAAAACATTTTCACGATTACAATTGGAGCCATGTTTATTGCAGCTTGGCAGACTTTCACAGAAGTTGCGGAGCTATTTTGGTATGCAATGTGGCGGCAAGTAGAAGTGCTGAGTTTAATCTTGCGAGCGAGATGTGCAGGTCTTGCAAAGCCATCCAGAATGAATATTTAATTATCGCCTCATGCATTCAAAATCCACCATTTAGAAAAAGAAGCTATTAATACATGTAAAGCAAATGAAACAGTAGAAATAATTTGTAAATTTAATGAGTGGAATAAAAAGTCATTAAGACTGCCGCTGGAGGAGTTTAGATGATGCTTACTCTGTGATGGAGCACTCCAGTGTGTCATTCACCTTGACTCTAACCTGAGAGCCAATATCCAGATGTTCCCCTCTGAGGGTCACCCTGGTTCCTCCAGCTCGAGAGCCCTTCTCAGGCTCCATGGACAGCAGCTTTGGGACCTGGATTTAGCAAAGCAACACAGCATCCAATAAACAAAACTTCAGATTCATCACCAGCCATCGGACAGCTTCCACCAGTGGAACAAGCAGACGTGTTCATGCTGATGTTTTCATCTCTTTTTGATGGCATCACTCCCTTCATCCTCTGAGGTTCAAATGTCCAGTTTTTACAGACTGACTGAGGCAGCTGCTGACTACAACGTTAGTGTGGTGAAGAAAACTGCGAAGACAGCCCAGGCTGCATTATGTTATCATGCTGCTGAAGCTAACAGGTCTTAGGGCTCGAGCCAGCAGGATAGCCCTACTGTAACTGTACAGCGGTTACATGAAATCCTGCACACACACACACACAAAAGGTCCTCGAGCGAAGATGATTATCCCAATTCAAATCTGCAGCTCCCAGAATCAGCATTCCTGCTCTTTCTAAACTTTCAATCCCCTCCATGACTCTCCTCCTCCAGGGAGGCCTCTTATCCTCGCTGACAGGATTCACTTCCTCAGTGAGCGGTGATGGGGCAGACCTATTGTGTTTCGGTGTGTCAGAGTGGGTGTAAGGAGGCAGATGTTTCCTTTAAAATTTTTGGAGGAAGGAGATGCAGTTAGAGTCACACATCCTGTCTCCAAAACAGCTTTTCTGTTTCGTTCCCCCTACATTTACGTCCCGTCAGCCGCATTAAAACTGAGAGATACACAAGGAAAGCCAGAGAGGAGTTCCCACCGCAGCTCCCAGATTAATGTTTGTTGTTTTAGAGGTTTGTTCAGCCTCATGTTTAAAGTTATGTACCGAGATCAGGGTTATATCTCAGTGGGATGATTCACAGACAGACTGTTCCAGCTCTGAATTATGAAACACTCTTTGTCTGTGAAGAAAGAGAAACAAAAGGGCTTGCAAGGGTATTTCCACGGGTTAAACGTTCCGATGAGAGACTGTGTGGGTTGAGGTGAATTGCCCTCAACCAGTGAAATATTCAGAGAGAAGGACGGCCCAACAATCAACATGTTTGTTTCTGTTGGCGGAGAAAGCGAAATGACAAAAGTTCTTCTCTCAGATGGACGTTTGAAGATTCCCACACACTAGCATTCCTCTGAATCATTAAATGCATCTGTTAACACTCAGCTGACACTTGGGAAGGCATTCCCGATGGGGAGCAAGGGAAAGAAAAGAGCTCAGTAGAAGAACAAGCCAGAAGAGAAACAGAAAACCAGCAGGAGGGCGGAGAGGATGGAGAATACTCACTAAATATGAGAACTTCTCTTTGGACGCTCCCGTCCCACTCTGGTTCACATCCACGCGGACAAATTCCACGCTGTCACGTTCAGACCTCCCTGTGCGACACACCAGCCTGAGGACAGAAGCCCCCGATGAGGGATCAGTTAATAAAAACACAAAACGGATCACGCTCACACAGAACACGGCATGTAATTTTGATTTAACAGAGATTTATATTACACCAAATTACAAGCGAAGGGAATCTGATTGTGACACGAAACAAAGACGCGTAATACGTTTTAGCTAATGGTGGTCATGAACTAATTCATCAATCCCTATTGCATTTACATTTGGTATTAAATAAAGCCGGGGGGTCTCAGATATGAACAGATGTAAAGTTCAAAGCTCCTCTGACCAAATGTGTCTAGCCACAGAGGAGATCAGGCGCTGCTGAGGCTTGTTCTCCTCCTCCTGGCTGTGATTAAACCCCGTGCCACCGCTGCACGCTCTACAGGGACGCCTCATATTAATGGCACATAGGGGCATGGACACATGAGGACCTACTGTTCTGGGACCTGAGTGGGATAAACGTACCGAGGGTGGGATGCAGCCTTTATCGCCTCACACGATCCCCCGTCCAGCCTGACAGCTTGTCGGTTTACTTAGTCAGGTTCCTGCTGCTGCGAAGGTTAGAAATTCTCAGCTAGCGACCGCATGATTGACAGAAGAATCGCGGGGAATTTATAAAAGTCAAAGGAGCATTGCTAGGCGTAGAGAGGACCTGTCAGGATGAGCGGTGAGATGAGGCCAGGCTGGACAAATCTGAGCTCGGATGGGGTCAAGTTAGCAAGAGACTTGAGAGAAGTGTGTGTGTGTGTGTTTTTAACATTGGGCTTTATCCAGCTCACACAGACACGGGCTCCGTGATTACAGAATCTTAAACTGAACCACTGAAACATTTAATGAGACCAATTAAAGTGTAAATTTGGTTCACTGGGCCTGAGTAGCTGTTGAATAACCTGCAGTGTCTGCAGAGCCCGCTGAGGTCTGTGCAGCTCATTAATAACAAGAGCATCAGGCAAAAGGATGTCATTACCCTCAAATTAAACCCCTGACAGGTACCTGGCACGAGCGCACTCTTTGAGGCAAATGCATCGTTTTATGTGCTTTATTTTAGGGAGAAGAAAGGTGTAGGATGTAAAATTAAACATGAGTTTTCACAAGTTTGAGCCTGAAGGGAACACAAGACAGCGGAGCCTGAATCAGCCGTAACATGCAGGACTGCTCCAGGCTGCAGGCGCTATCACAGCAGCATCACATCGTATGCCGTCTGCTCCTGGAACAGATTCTGTGTAAAATCCTTTTTAGTTTGGGGGGGAAATGGGATTAGGATTAGAAAACTGCAACAGAGACAGGCTGCAGCTTTGCAACACCTTGGGTTCATCAAAGTCTGATTTGTTTTATTATAAGAAAGCAATGAAAGTATTACATCTAGTCAGCAATTGCAGGCTGACTTAACCTGGAAGTATTCATTCTAAAGTTATTATTCTAAATGTTCACCGTGTTCTCTATTCATTGTGTTCTTCAGTGAAAGAAAAAGGTCACCTAATCGTATATCTAGCTCTGCTTTTGCCTAAATAACACAATAACAGATGGGTAAATGAAATAAAAGGCCAAGCGTTCCCTAAAGGAATGCGTTTTGATCTTGCATGATCAGTTAAGGCTCAGATTGTGGGATGAATGAGTCTCAACTGCAAATGTAATCTTATTATCCTTAAAATGACCTGAATTACACCCAATGATGTGTTTTTCTAAGGTCACAGCGAGAGCGGCCAACTTGAGTTGAGTTGTAGACACGCTGTTTTACGGTTGGGGTCATTGACTGGAATAGCACCATAATTGAGCTCAGTATTACTGAGGTTGGTGGACTTAAAGCATTTAGCTAATGTCGAAAGGCTACAGTTGCCATTTGGAATCGGTTTGACTCCAGACACGAGCCAGGTGTGAATGTGTGATCAGTGAGGTCCTTCTCAAATTGGCGTGTGTTTGGCCTCACTCTCAGCTGTTAGCATCCCAGATCTGACCTTCTCATCTGTTTCCTGACAGCATTCTCACCATGTTTGTGTTTGCTGATGTTGATCTTCTGAGACAGCCATCTTGAACTGACGTTCATTCACTAGTTCATTTCTGAGTGTTTCATTAGCATATAAGAGTCACTGATGTATTCGGTGCCTCGCTACATCTCTGCCTCAATTATAAAATTATTAATCCTAATTAAAATTAACAATGATTATCTGAACAAGTTAAATAGTTAAACTGCATCCTGAGTTTGTGCCGCCTGTGATTCTGGCCTCCCCAGGTCTGTTGCTAAAACAGACCGGGGTAGTGTGAGTAAAACTCACCAGCGGAGTGACTGTACAGCTTCCCACACGCTCGCTCACTGTGTTGCAATCCTCCTACATTTTTATCGGAGCGGTGTTTCGTACAGCCAGCAAGCGCTAACGAAAAGCTGCAAAACTTCTGCTGGATCTGCAAAAACCCGGATGGGTATTTTTCCGTGTGATTCCAGTAAAAAGAACGCGCTGACTCCTAGTAGGAGCAAACCGAGCCAGGCCGACCCCTGCCCCCAGGAACTGTTGTGGGTTTACGAGGGCAATATTTGGGCAAATACTGGAGTGCTTCTCATCATTTCCCTGGAGTGGCTGGTGAGGATCATCAACAATCCAGTCTGTGTGTGTCGGGATGCGAGTGCTGTCTGGGTGTTGATAAACGGACAGGGCGAGAGCCACTCAGGGTTCATTTGAAGATGATGGGAAAGGTGGCATGGAGAATTTGCGCCAAATATCAAGAGACACACTTGAGTAAATGAGGTCCGCCCACGCTGACTTTGCCATTAATTAACATGTCAACACCGAGTGAGAGGAGAACAGCTTCTGCAGGGGAGCTCACTTTCCTTTGGGCACACAGATGTGAACTTTGACCTTTCTGCACACAAGCGGACGCCTGTCTCAACAGCTCTGGTGAATGAGGTCACATGTACAGGTGTGTGATTACCCCCTTGTGTGTGTGTGTGTGTGTTAAATTAGTAAAAAGGCGTGATTGGTTTAAAAATGTATGAATGACGGTGGAGGAGAAAGAAGTTTCTTAGGTTTGAAACGATGTCAGAGTAAAAGGGGAGGTAATGTTGATTTATTGATTTGTCCCAGCAGCATGTGTGTGTGTGTGTGTGTGTGTGTGTGTGTGTGTGTGTGTGTGTGTGTGTGTGTGTGTGTGTGTGTGTGTGTGTGTGTGTGTGTGTGTGTGTGTGTGTGTGTGTGTGTGTGTGTGTGTGTGTGTGTGTGTGTGTGTGTGTGTGTGTAGGTCGAATGTGCTGACAGAGTCAGATGCTGTGATGTGTTATGATTTGTCGTGCCTCCTCCAGCGGTGAGGATGTGAGCCGCTGTCATCACTGCCGGCCCGAAGGAGCCGATGAGAAATGACGGCACGAGATGAGATCACCCTTCGAGTGAAACGTGGACGCTTTGGGTTTGGGGCGGGGGTGTAACTCGTCAGGCTGCTGGAGTGAGTGGCAGGTAGGAAGCGCAGGTCACCCTGGAACTGGTTTTAAAACAATGATCGGCTCCACCGGAGCGCGGCCAGATAAACAGCTCCTTTCAAGGAACAGTACAAATACTGAATAGAAGTTTGGATGTTAATTGTAGAGTAACGGACTTCCACTGAGTTCTGTTTCGCCAGTGTCAAAGCAGGGTCCTGCTGTCTCCATGGTGACAGTGTGATGGTCCCTGAGCTACAGGGTGATAGCGACAGAATTATTTAAATTGAGAAGTGTGCTGCATAATAATATTTGTGAAAATTAGCCTCATGAATACAAAAAAACGAAACCACATGCAGACGGCTGAAATTCAGATTCTAAGAGCTTCAGGACAGAAGAAGTTTAGTACCTGGAAAAAGTCTCAGGAGCTACTTTATCTTAGCAAGAACAGCCTAACTCACTACATCTTACATCCTTTGACCTTGAAAACATTACCCAATTACATTTAGTCACTGGTTCACCTCGCGAGCTCAACTTGTGTTTCTTTTGAGGTAAAAACACCAGAAACGCTTCAGAACGTTGTAATTAATGCATTGATGTTACATTTAATGTGAGTTGTTTACTCGAGTTTTAAATCAGCAGCATGCTCCTTTATGCATTTCATTAAGATGAAAAAGCAAATTAAAACCTCTAAATGATGCTTCATGTGCAAACAGGTGAACTCACACTGGCTGCAGCTAATTTTCTTATTATTTACAGTTATTTAAAGGTCACTGCTGTCATTTTCAACCATGGACTTTCTGAGTTTGCCATTAATAATTGTTTCCTTATTTAGAAAATACCATCTGTTTCATGAGAATGCGTAATGAAATTCACTTTTATATTTTACCAGCAATGTGAATCAGAATAAAGCAGAAGAAGAAAGACAGCGAGTTGAAATAAAAACTTGGTGCAACGTCACGGCAGGATGGTGAAAATGTTAGAGATGAATTAAAACGATCAGCTGGGGATTGGCGTGGTTGGTATTTAGTATGATTGGGTTAACAGTGATCAGCTGATCTGAAACATAAAAGCCTCTTTTTCGTTCTGTCCATGAACGCACCATCCAATCACGTTTCCAGTCCATGAACGCTCTCAAGCACCAATTCCCTGTAGCCATGCCAGATCTTTCAAGTGGAAGTTTTTACTTCATAAATTGTCTTTTTCAAGTAAATCAGAGAACATCTGTTCTGTATAGATGAACTGGGATTGGCTAAATCAGTGTCAGCTCTGCAACTGGTAACGAATCAGTGCATTTATAAATAGGTGTTAAAGAAATTATCCATCAGAAAAAAGAGGTGATGATCCTTGAGCACTACGAAGGACACTGGCAGTGCAGAAATGAGGCTTTATTACTCAGAACGGGAGAATCATGAAGCTTCTCTTTAGTTTAAATAATATCACAATAATTTTCAGTTACATTACAATAAGGCTCATCTTATAATTAGCTAATATTTATAGCTATGCTATAATTAATCTGTAACACTTCATAAATCATTACCATTTTGCATTAATTCTCAGGTCAACTAAAGATCAAATTTGGATCCAAATCTTTATCTCATCCAGAAATATTAAAATTTTCAGACTAAGTTACTAGTTTGTGAACACAAGGAGCCTTTGCAAATGTGTTTGTTTTGGAAATAATATTGTACTTTATCACTGCACAATAAATATCCACTACTATCTAAAAGACACGTCACCATTTTTATGATCAATAATAAAGTATTATGTGTAAATGATGTTTTCCCCTCATGCCTCCTTTTCACTTTTCTGCCTGTAGATAAACAACCGGATCGTTGGTTTATGACATCAGAGGCTAATGTTAGCACCGAGTCTGGAACAGAAGCCGTTCACAGAGGTCTGGTGAGCTCACTCAACACCCCAACCAATGTTTTTATTTATGAGTTTAGCAGATTTCCCACGGCTTCCGCTGAAGCCACATAAAGCTCCACGGCTTTAATGTTTCACTACACAGATCCACCAGTTCCCCCAAAGAACTGGGAGCACGGGATACAGAGTTCAGATTATCTTTGGAAACGACGGAAGGCTGAAATTAGAGACATTTGAACTTGGTAGCCAATCCTGCAATGATTTTAGAAGCTTTTCGTTTTTAAATATTTTCTGAAAGTGTGGGCGAGCTTGCTTCCTGTTTTCAAGCAAAGCCGGCAGCTCTGACCTTCCTCTCTGATTCAGGGGATTTCAGGGCCCTCAGTGTTATTACCCAACATGTCAGCAGTTCCTTCTGTTACTGTGGCTAATCTTCCATTTGCTTCGTTATTCAAATTTTATTTCCGTGCATGTGTGAATGTCTGTTTTCTGTTTGTCATCCACCTGAACACTCACCTGCCTGAAAGCATGTCAGGTTACCATGACAACAGGTAATTGTCACCTATTATCGCAAGTCCTGGCTGCAAGATTACTGCATTTTTTTTATCAGGTCTTTAAATAAGAATCCTGTTTTGCACACGGTGGGGACTTTTCTCACTTTAATCGTGCTGAAAATGTAATTAAATAAGTGCAAAGTGCTAGAAGTTGAACGGAGACACCAAAACACCCTCATGCTCGGGCAAACATGCACAGACAAGTTGTAATACTTACTCGACAGAGACGGTGTAATGCTGAGGAAGCAGATCACACGGAACATCTCCTATAAAGATCTTGACTCCTGCAGGCCTCTGACCCAGGTTCCTGCCTTGTACTGTGAGCAGCGTGCCTCCTTCTGTCGGACCCCTCAGGGGGGAGATCTGACAGGGTGAAATAATGAACAGAGAGAAAGACATGGCTGTGAAGATGTTGTAATATGCACAATAAATTAGAGCTCGTAAGTAGCTTACCACCCGAAAATTACTGAAATAATGAAAGGTGATAATTACCACGACAGAGAATAAAGAGAGCGGAAACGCTGCGTCTGATTGAGATGCGGAGTGTGGCGCTGACTGAGACAGGGATCCAACTGAACAGACACATGATTTAGGTGTGTATACGCACAAAGCAGACTCTTAGCTGTGCCTGTCTGATACTCTTCAGCCTCTAATCCTCTACAGCACATGCAAATAAAGAGAAGGCTAAGAGCCCCCTTCACATCCCACAAGAGACAGACGGAGTGGGAAAGTGAGGGCTGGAGAGGCGAGGTGTAGAGCGCTGCAGAAAGGTGGATGAGTGTGGAGGCAATTTAGAGAACCGAGTGTCGAGAGGAGAGCGAATGCTGATGATGGTGGTGTGAGAGCAAAGCCTCAACAGGGGAATTAACGCACAGAGCTTTTCCCTTTCATCTGTTTTGCTGCGTCTGCTCCGTCAAATTCCTTAGCCCTGTCTCTGCGGCTGTTCAGAGGCACACTCTCATGTGTCATTTCAGCCCTCGCCTTTGGCCCCGCAACTTTCTGCCAGAGGGCCGTGGAAAAGATGGGTGTGTGTGTGTGTGTTTGTATGTGTGTGGGGGATCTTCTTCAATCACTGCAACAACAAAAAAAAGAAAAACCTTGAAAGATAGCATCTCCCAAACACGGACAGAAGAAATCTAGAAGGGTGTACCGCTGCAGCAGAGCTTCCTCAGCAGCCGGCCCATTTCTCATAATAAACTCCAGGCTGAGGCGAGGTCGCGGTGACCCCTCTGAGTTATTAGCATGGCTCCGGCTCTATCGGAAACCGGGCCCAAAAATGAAAACAGCGTTTGTGTTTGGTCTAGGTGAGAGGTCCAGATACCCATGAGGACCTTGCCGTTGCATCAGCACACATAAATAAACCAGCTGGAAGTAAGAGCTGCAAAGAAGGGATGTTTAACTTTTAACACAGTATGGAAACAAACAGCTTATTTCTGTGTGACTGGCAGCACGGGAAATACGATGCTTATATTCTGGGTTTGTTTAAAAGTCCTGCATGTGCGACCAGCTAACCTCCTCCATGATCTGCACCTGATCTGTGAAAACAACCCATTTTCATCTATGTGTGAGGAGAGTTAAAGAGGCACCTATTAAACCGTATATCTGTGGTACCGTTGGGCGCTGATATTAACATCAGACTGAGTGCTCTTCATTTACACCTCTCACAAGTCTACATGTCTTGATTTACAGCGCTAACTCTGCCAGGCCTCCTGGGAGATGGCGGGGTGTGAGTACACCTCTGCAAAAGAAACTTCCAGACTCAAAGCTGGATTTCTGTTAAACACACACATTTCTAAATTTAACATGCTCTTAATGCCGCGCGCACACACACATGATGATGATAAAATCCATATACTTTCTTTTTCCTGTTCTGAAAAGATTGTTCCACTCAGCACTTTCATCTTCCTCCTCAGTCCGGTCGCTGGGCTTCGCGCTAATCAAGGCGGACGTCAAGACAAAAACAGGAAAAGCTCCTTGCTTTATGCTGCACCCTGTCCAACTCGCTCTCAGCTCTCAGCTCTCAGCCAGGCCCCTCTGCTCTCTTTCTTTGCGTGTTGTGGATAAACTGTGTTTGGCACTTCCTCGTTTTGGACGCCAAAGTATGTTTTCTTTTACAGCGGCAAAGTGGCCTACACACAACGTGAGAGCAAGGAGCCAGCGGAGATAATAAATGTGTCCTTTGTCTGCTGCTGGGGCGTTGAACAGAAAGCATTTTTCATAATTAGGTGGTGGGCACGAAAGTTTAGCAAATAATAAAGTCCTCCATTTTAATATTATAGTATGGCACAAGAATCGGGTGATGGAGATTGTCTGTGACGCTGGAAAGTGAAGACAAACACGTTTCATTATCTCTGCAACGCCTCTTTCACTACGACTATATAACAAAGAGCTGCTGCAGCGTGTGTGTGTGTGTGTGTGTGTGTGTGTGTGTGTGTGTGTGTGCACACGCACGCGAGTTTAGGGAGATTGGATCTTTTTGCAGTAAGCTGGAGAACTTGGGCTCTAACCCCTGCAGATTCTCTGGGAAGACACGGCTGCCAAAGTGTTGCATCACACACCCGACTGAACCACAGCCCCTGAATCCTCTCCTGCGAGAGCCAGTGGGGAGAATGTGTGTGAGAGCTTTGCAGCAATGGTCTACCCACACAGACACACATCTCTGGCCAGCTAACGTCAGTCACGTAAGAAGTCCACATGAGTTAGGCGCTCAAAGAGCATCCTTTTAGTCACCGTTTGCTGACAGCTACAAAGAATGAAGGATGAATCGCGAATGCTTCAATATGGCCAGTTTGTGTGACAGATTGTGGGCTTATGTGTGTGTGTGTGTGTGTGTGTGTGTGTCGGCCTGCTTTGTTCTGCCTGCTTATTTTCCTGGGGCTGACCAGGTTTTATCTACAGGAAGTTCAGGCCGACTGGCTCTCATGTGAGCCGTGCTTCCCATGACCGCCTACCGTAGCTGCACTGATATAAGCTGCAGGAAAAAAAGGCTTGTGGGATCATTCTGAACACAGCGGTTAGACAAATAATGCAAATGAGCTCCATTAAAGGGAGGGGCCTTTAAGCAATTGTCTTGACATGACCACAATCAGATCCCGTGCTGGATAAAGGCACTTTCATTTCTTTTACTAATGTGGTTTTGCTTCTGTTGCGGTTAAAAGTCCTAAATCCCTCATGGCGCTCTTTTTCAGCTTTTGTGGTTTTGCACATCAAGGGTTCAGCGTATATAGCTCCCAGATCACAGTTCACACAGTTTAAACACACATTTTGTTGTTACACAGGGCAGAAGGTGTTCCCATGACCCCCTGACTGACTGCAGATTCTCTCAGCGGCGCCCCATGAGCGATGAGGCTGTGTGAACCATTTTAATAAAAATCTCCTCCAAAAGTCCCTCAACAACTGACACTGGACAGACAGGACATGGCATCGTGTGAGTGACCACACATGATGCACCAGTTAAAGAAATCGAACCCCAGCAGGAAACTGTGTAGGGGGAGGAGCCAGAGGATGAGTGAAGTCCAAAGTTATCCTACCTTATGGATTTCTGGAGCAGGACACGGATCCGTGATTGGCTGACAATCGTCCCGCGGCCTGCAGCTGTTTTCACACCAGCCACAGAGGTGTCCCTGGTCCTCGCGGCCCCAGCACTGAGAACAGTCTGAGCTACCCACTCCGCAGTTATACACCTCCACTAGAGGGACAAGGGAGACACAGAGACCAATGTAAAACAGCCAGAGGTAGACAGTAACTCAACACTGTTACTAAAGCCCTGTGCAATTTTGGCAAACTTGTACTTTAATTGAAAATCTGTCGGTTTCTGGCCAAGAGATGACAGCATTCTGGTTTTGTAAGCTTTTAATAGCATTTTAGAGTTCTCACTTCCAGGAAAAACTGTAGAAATGTCGACTTTCTTGGACTTTTACATCCCTCCTCGAAGACTATAAATTACATGGGAACAAACAGCGCCCTGACAGCAGTTCTCTGTGAGATTTTAAACATCGGTGAAGCGGTCTCCAACTTTCTCAGCTCCTGATGTCTCACAAAAGAGAGATGCTTTCTTGTTTTACACAAAACCATTTCTCGTAAAGCATTTCACATGGAATTAAATAGCTTTATTTATGCGCTCGGCTAATTATTGTGATTTTTGTGACAAATGAAGCGTGTCTAAACAGAGTTTGTTTGGACTAACTGAAGGTGCACTCATGAGGTCTTTTCTTTTATTGCTTACATGCACCATATGGTTTGCATGCTCTAAATAAACAGAATAAGCATTTGGAGGATGATATATGCGAGGCTGTAAAAATAAACTGGGGAAGAAAAAGAGTTGGTGGAGTGGATGAGAACAAAGCCAGCAAACACAGATGATTATGTTCTTGTTCCAAAGTGCCTCCCAGCCAGAGGTCCCATTTGTATTACTGCCTGCACATCTGCGCGTGTGATTGTGTGCATATTATGGTGTGTGTGCCTCTGCATGCATGTGATAAAGCGTGTGTCATTTTAAAATGTGATGACGGTGCATGCTGTGTGTGTAGCAGAGGGTCTGGCAGCGGCCCAGGCTTGTTGTTCACTGAACAGCGTATCTGGGCCCAGGACAGGTGGTAACTTTGCTTGTTGTAACTGAAGACGGGCAACGTCGCCATGGTCAACAACGCACGCCACCTCCCATCACCTCACTCACTGTTGTCATGGAGCTCAAAACTGTGTTTGCAACAATAGCTTTGGACGCTGCTTGTATAAGAGGCCGCGATAACACCTTAAATTGCAGCTCCTCATGTTCTGTAATTATTACGCGTAATTAGGCGTTCGCAGAATAACATTGCGGTAAATTACTGGTTGTTGGCAAATGATGTGTTGTAATTCCCAAACTGCTTTCATTACGAGCGAAAGACAGGCTAAAATGGTCCACTCGTATAAAAAACTAAACAATTTACAGGTTTGATCACTTCCACCCATCTCATCAGAAAACATCTGTGGACGAGCGAGTTCAATTCTCAGAGCAAAGGGGTCGGAGCTGTCTCAGCATGAGGCTGTGTTCTTCATTCATGTCTATTTAATCATGGGGCTTACGGCTTACCTTTCATGGGCTGAGGGCTGTCCAGGAATATATCCTCCGGCTGACTGGTGAAGTATCCTCTCCTCCTGAGATTGAGGTGGTAAACCTGACTTCTCTGAGCAGTGGACAGCTAAACCAACAGAAACGTGGGCGGAATCAGCAAGACGGGTCGCACAGATCCACTTAGTGCTGCACCTCCTAATGACGGGTTCTTCTTCAGCTCAACAACAAGGGTTTAACATAATTACACAAGCTACAAATAAGTTTCAGCACAACAATAATGAGCAGAAAGAATAAGTAAATACACGGTAGATGAAACCTCACCAGTTATTATGCAGCTACATCATGTTTTTGCCTCTGTGCGTGTGTGTGTGTGTGTGTGTGTGTGTGTGTGTGTGTGTGTGTGTGTGTGTGTGTGTGTGTGTGCACTTGTCTTTATGGGTTTGTGTGGACCAACCCCTGACGGGAGACCAACATTGTGTGGACATTTACCCGGTCCACACAACCAAAATCCTAGAGGAAGCTTCCTTTGTCCCACCTAGAGTTAAACATAATTTTTGCACCATTCTGGCTATAGTGGAAGTCAGAGTCCACACAAACAACTCAGAAAACGTAGTCCACACAAACCCATAAAAACACGTGTGTGTGTGTGTGTGTGTGTGTGTGTGTGTGTGTGTGTGTGTGTGTGTGTGTGTGTGTGTGTGTGTGTGTGTGTAATAATCCACCTGGTGCATACTAATAAAAACTCTCAAGAGTAATCGTTGGATGAACATCTACATCTGATTACATTTTTGGATAAAACCCATTAAAGATGTCCGTCACAGCTTACCAACCTCAGCAAACACAAAAGTGGCTACAGCTCAGTTCATCTGACAGATTGTGAGCTGTTGAGGTATCCGCTGAACGTCACATACTGATAACTGATTGCACCAGATCCTAAGTAAGGTCGTGCATCACAGTTTTTGACCAAAACAACAGCACAACCATCTTTTTCCAGCAGTAGATGATCCCTAATCTATTTTGCTGGGCCTTTAATGTTTATTTTCTATTTACTTACCACCACCCCGCTGCACTTGACAGTTGAGTTGTCCAGCCATGTGGCCTCATAGCGCTGATCAGTCCCAAAGTCACACTCCAGATCCTCCCTCTGTTGTGCAAAACACTTCTTACAACCCATATGAAGGATTTAGACAACAAACAAGTGATACTGTGCCGTTTCCACAATGAAACTATCCTCATGTTACAACAAAGTTACTCTCAGAACACTCATGTCTGGCAGCGATTGTCGAGTCTGAAAGAGCACCAGGAAAAAAAAAACCTCCATAATAATTCTGTCTGCCAGAAAAGACGTTCAGATTTCATATTCATAAACATCTGGACTCTCACACCTCGGAAACTCATCTGGGAGTCAGAGTAATGAGTGTGAATTTATTCTCTACAAAATAAGTGCCCAGAGTTTCACTGAGCCACGGAGAGGCAGAGACAGGTAGGAGCAGAAAGGATAAGTAAGTGGAAGAAGTCATTTGTCTGTAAATCCAGCCAGCTTAAAATGCTCTGCTTTGATCGGCCTCTCCGTGACTCCGACACCTTCCTGTGCTTCCTGACACCAGAGACAGATGATGTTTTTGGCTGCCGGCAGGTTATTGTATTCCTGCCGTACTGTGAAAATTTCCCTGGAATATCTTCGGAGTGAATGGGAATATAATGGATGACAACACTGAAAGTGTTTGCTTATTAGTAAAATGCAGTTTTATTTTATTTTCAGATCAAAAACTACATTTCCCCCTCCGTTGCTAACATATGCAACAATTTAGCAGGAATCCCAAAAGGAGCTGAGAGACGGTGATGAGAGGCAGAGTTTGATTGACAGCACATTTCCTGCTCCACTGGCTCGTACGAGATGAAGACGTTGGTCAAACAGCATCCGTTTGTGTAAACTTTCTTAATTAAGAGCAGCAAGAAGGGCCAATCACATTCAGGCTATCCTGAGGAAGTGTGTGTGTGTGAGTGTGTGTGTGACTCAACGTCTGTCACCATAGCAACACACCAGGGTACTTCTGGAAAGGCCAGCCGGGGTTAGGCGTGTGACTGACCACGCCTGGCAACCAGTCAGCACTGGAATTTTTAGCGGATCTGAGTTGCATCCTGTGCATCCTGGTTCTGATTGGTGCGGGATCACATTCTGAACTTCTCCATGTGGATTAACCACGAGAACGGGAGCTGGACAAATATAAACGAACGTAAGCGAAATGAAGCCCCTTCCTCGTGCGCTGCCTCGGACCGATGCTGACAAAAACACAGCTCAGCTCATCACCGCTAGATAACCAGAGACCCGGTGTGCCCAGACAGCCACGCAGAGAGCAGCATTTGCATAAAGATATATTTCAGCTCATTCTCCATCACCTCCTCTGTCTCTCAACACTGACGATACACAGACTCAGGTTTCACTCATTGACCCAAATCCCCCAAACAAGAAAATTCATCTGTGTTAAGCTCAGCTTGAAGCAAGCACACCATATGCTTCTGTTTTATTCCAATCATTTTCACAACATGCATGTTGGAGGACTTCCAATAGCCAGGGGCTGTCTGTCATACCTCCTGGATGTTGCTCAGGGACAGCGTGAAATCTTGGGCTGCTCCTGACGGTGATGGAGGAACATCTGAGGCAATCAGGCTTGGGCAGGAAGCTGCGCTCTGGTGGTGCAGAAGGGGACAGGAAGTGACATCCAGGGGTTAAAGATAACAATGACTCCCCCTCTGATACACACATCCACCACCAAAAATACCTGTCCTGTTTATCTGGGCGAGGAGGAAATGGGAGGGTGAAGCTTTGCTTTGAGGAGAGCAACAATAGCTTCAAATAGAGACGATGATGGGTTAGAAAAACAGACTCACCAGACAGAAACACACTTCCTGATGACCTCATGACCTAAACCTTAAAAAAAAATCTTATGTCTGTAATTTAAATACCCGGAGCAGCTTTAAAGCGCAGTCTTTACTTGCGTTTGCCTGTTTGTGGATCTGAAACATCTGATGGAGATTAGCTTCACTTGCTTTAAAGATGGAGTCATGTTTTCATGGAGCTGTGTAAAAGAAAGGATGTGTGATTTAAAGCTAATCATGAAACAGTCATGGAGCTAAAATGCTGAGAAGACCGCAGAGCAGCTGATCACTCAGCTGTGAGCTTTTCTCAGAAGGGTGAGTGTATTCAGAACTGGAGAGGGAAAAAAATAGATCTGCCGGGCCACACGGGCCATGGGACTTGGCTCGGTACTAAAACTTTAAACGGCGCGCAAATAATTTAATAGCTGATTTCATCTTGATGTTGTCAGAGAAATTTCCAAAAGGATGATGGTAATTTGTTTCAGTGAGGCCGAACTTATTTTGGATGAGCTTCCCTCTTCTGCAGACGTTCTGATTGGGCCTGTAG